GTTTGTCAGCGTCTGTGTACTTGCTCGCTATAAACCAACATAGCTAAAGGCATCGACTAAGTCTGTAAAACGTAAATTAGTGTTTTGAATGAATAGCAACCCAGCAGTATCCACTGGATTTAACAAGGCTTTGACAAAGTATTCAGTTAAGAAGACACAGCCAACATTATCAGTACAGACTCAGCAGTCAAACGCTGTCCTCGCTGTAAGGTCACTAGACTTGATTGTTACTTAAAAGAGGCGAGCACCTCGGCTGTTCCACCAAACTTCTGGGACATGAGAGTTTCCTCGTCACCGTGGACGTTCTGCCTTGTTAAACTGCCTAATTAGCAAGATTCCTCCCCTAATCACCATCTCTAATGGCCTGTCCAAAACGATCGACAAACGGGGGTTTCACCAACGGAAGCCAGGCCAAGTCGGCCATTTTTAGACTCAATTAATTTTTCAAATAAGAGGATTGGCTTTTGTGAGAAAGAGAGAGCAGATTTTAGAGGGGCCTCGACAGTGGAAGGTGAAAAAGATACTGACCAAGAGAGATAGAGGGGGGAAAAACAACAGCAGGGAAGCAGGCTTGCAAATTACAGAAATGTAATAACTGATTTTAAATGTTTTAGTTGGTTAGTGCCTGAGGGATTGTATGATAAAGAGACACAGAAGTGATTAAGGTGGTGGATATGTCTAATGATTTTCTCTCTTCAGTTATATGGTTTGAGAGGATTACTAATGTTTAAATGGCTGTGTGAGTCTGTGCGTGCGTGTCCTGTATGTATGTGCACATTTATAAATGCGCAAATGCTCGGACTTCAACACAAATGACAAATAATTGATAAACAACCTGCAATTTGTCCATACAGTAGAGGAACTTTGGTGTGTGACATTAGTCTCATAATCCCATGTGTTTGTTTGTTTCAGTATCCATTGCTAAGACAAACTGTAGAGTTGTAACCTTGGTTGCTATGGTGTGTGTCGGTGGTTACCATGGCAACTCCAGAGTGACTTTTTTGTAGATAGGCGACTGCTCTGTAGCAGTTTCTTAGAAGCTTGCATGAATTCTGGCAAAGAGGTGAGGAGGTCTTTCCATCCATCTCTCCACTTCCCCGCCAATTTTTACCACACTCCATCTCCATCTTTCATCATTCCACCTCTCACAGCTCCATCTCACTTTCTTTCAACTTTTCACATCACCCTATCACCCTCTGTCCCTTTCCCACCCTCATATGTCGGCCTTGGTATATTTGTCAGCCTCCCTTTCTCCTTCCCCTTACCTTTCCACATCCCCCTCATCTTTCACTTTCTCACCTGCGAAGCCATCCATCTCTTGCTCTCCCTGCTGTGCCTCTCTGTCGGTTTGTGCTTCCTTCTCTCTCTTTCTCTCTCTCTCCCTCTCTGTGTGTCCATTGCATCCTCATGCTTGCTCACCCATCATATGAATTGTTGTGCCATAAATAGCTCAGGGGTTACTCTAGGTAGTGTCACGGGGCTGTCTAGAAGCTGGTGAAAGTGCATACGGAGCATTTTTGAGTGTGTTTAAAACCTCAGATCTGGGACAAAGCATTGTGTGGACAAGGTACCTCAAACACAAACTCACCTCTTCCCCACCTCTCCATTTTTTGTGGAGAGGTACAGTTTGTGCCTTACATTTTCCTCTGACCCATCTAGTTATTGTACTGACCTGCTGGGAAGGGACATTTCAACAAATCCTCCAACCTAAAACCCTATAACAGGTCGTTTGTCTTTGTTTTTGAAAACATACCCATAAAAATCGTAACATAAATATGCTCACAATGACATCAGGTTTAAGGTTTACCATATTGACCAACTTGGTTTAGCGTGTTATTTGCCATTGAGCGCTGAACAGCTGAGGCTGATGAGAATGTCATCTGTTTTGGTCATGAACCAAAGTACTGGGAAAAGTGTTGAGCTGATGATGATGCTTGAGGAAATGTCAGATGGCCATAGTTCACACTATTCATCCTGTGTAAAGGAATCCCCCAAATTTAATGGCAATCCTTCTAACAGTTGTCCATATATTTTAAAATGTCAACTTGTTGGTGGTGTTAGGGTAAAAGTCAGGAGATCACCAGCATCATTAGGAATCATCTTCTGGGAGCCATGAATGTCCATACACATTTTTGAGCCAATCCATAGTAGACGAATATATTTCACTTGACAAGTGATAGATTTAACCAGCTGGTGGCGCTAGATGAAACATCAGGGGATCATCAAAATTTTTAGGATTTATCAACTGGGGATCATATTTGTACCGAATTTCATAGCAATTTAAGTCAAAATCAACACTGTCAACCTCTTTCAAGCCACTTATTGAGATTTTTCAACCTGGAACACAATATTGCCATCCATAGAACCATGAGGCTAGCTTAGATAATTGAGGAAACAATGTGGTGATAAAAGAAACCAGTGCAGACTGTTAAAAAGACAGGATGCCAACTGTTATGCTATAACAATGCTATTTGCTTCTCAGGGAATTATTTGCATGATCACAAAGGGTCACTTGTCAGGAAAACATATTAGTCGTGTTAATTAATGATCAGATGATGAGGAAAGACACAAATTCCCAAACCACCTAAAAGAATGCACTTTGAGAAGAGGAAACATGTGTCTTATGCTGCTGTTTTGATGGTATAATTACACTTGTAAGTATTAATAGTTCACACATGCTATACAAATCATTCCTTCAACAACAATTACAAGGCACTTCAGTTGACTTTTATTGCATAAGAAGCCTCCGTAACCATCTCTCTTCTTCGTCCTTGTTCCCTTTCTGCTCTCCCTGCCCTCTTTCCTCCTCTTCCCTCCCTCTCTATTTCTTTGTCTCCATCTTTCCTCCTCCGCTCCTCCTATTCTACGTGTCCCTGTGGGGTTTCTCCAGCAGCTGTCATGCAGTAGTGTGAGCATGACGGGAGATGATCTATGGGCTTGTACACCGGAGCAATTAGCCAAAAGAAATTCAGAATGGAGAGAGAAATACAGTACAGAAATGGGAGGTGATGAAGAGGTGGAGACAGAGGAGAGACAATCCAGAGTTAAAAAATAAATGAACAAAACAAAGAGACATAGGGGAGGTGGTGGAGGGGTAGAAAACGGTGAGATGAAATCTGAAAAGTACTCAGAAGGTGATATGATTCAGACTTTTCCTTTAGCAGAGGAAGGATAGTAAAAGTAGACAGATGAGGCTCTTGTAAAGGTTGTGGGGAAGAAGGTGAGCGTGCATAGAGTGAAAGAAATAAATGGATTGGGGAAAAGAGGGATAGTCTGGTGGAATTTCAAGGGTAGAGAGGAGATGAAGAGTAATTAGGTGGAGAGATCTAAAATGGTAGGAGGGACATAAAGAACAGCTGGGAGGGAAGGAAGGATTGAAAGTTGATAGGGAAGGCAGGGGAGGGAAAGAGGGATAGAGCAAAACACAGTGGCAGTTGTTGAGAGAGAAGGGGAATATACAGGTAGGGAGGGATGGAAATAATAATAATAATAATAATACATTTTATTTATAATGCCCTTTTCATCAAAAGATCTCAAAGTGCTACAGGTTAGAAACAAAAAAGATAAGCAGTTTTAAAAAATAAGAAAAGAAATAAAAAAAAAGTTTAAAAAAAAAAAAAAAGAAACATCTAAAAGGGGACCAAAAGCTTTGCTAAAAAGAAATGTCTTAAGAAAGAAGAGAGCAAAGGTAGGAATATGGGGGGAGGCAAGTTGGGGGGCATAATGCCAGTGCATTAGCAAAGGACGAGGGGAAGGAGTCAGGGAAAGTAGGACAGCAGGAGCAAGGAGGAGAAAAGACAGGTAGAGAAAGGGAAGTATGAGGAACTTTGGATAAAGGACAAAGTAAAAAAGATATTAAGAGGTTAAGAAAATAATAATCCTGTTCTGTGTCAACCTTTTTTGCTGAGATTATCAAATAACCAAGAAATCATTTATTAAAAACTTGGTTATAAAAACTTAAGCATAACATTAAATATATGTGACTAAATGAACACCAACTAAAGCTAAAGTTTAAAAAAAGCATCTGTAGGTGTAATTTTTTAAAGAATATAACACTCAAATAAACAGTTAGGCTTCCTTAGGATAGTGTAGGTGTGGTTTGATCAGATTTGATTGACAGTGGCCTGTCATCATAAGCAACAACACTGCCATTAGATTTTGATTTAGATGTTGCTAAATCCTTATTGGTGCATGGAAGTAAGGGACATCAGCTTTTTCCAACAAAGTCTCTATGGGGTGCCGTTTGTAAAGCGGCTCACGCTGAAAATAACAGCAACATTTTGTCACATTTAGCTTCAAACAATGTTTAAAAAACTGGCATGAATTTTTGAGGGTCACTTTTTTGCACACAAACAATATTTGTCAACTTAGAGATATTTTAAATAGTTAAATCTAAATATTACATGTTACACCTAAATGTTAAATGTTAAATGTTAAATCTAAATGCTAAATCTAAATCTAAATCTAAATGTTACATTTAAATCTAAATCTAAATGTTAAATATAAATATAAATATAAATGTTAAATATAAATGTTTCGGGTGAAACTAAATATTTAACTAATATGCAAATTCAAAATGCCGGTAACCGGAAGTACCAAAATAAAAGCTTGAGGAGGTCAGTGTGTGTTTATAGTGTCAAATAAGGAATAAAAACCATCTCATCCGGGGAAATGGACTCTTGGACATGGATTATCGTGATAATAACTACCTGAAATAATAAACACGTTTGGAGAAACTGTATTTAAAGAGTACTTTGAGTTTTTAGTGTCCCTTTTATGAAGGGTGCAGGACTTATGACCTGTAGCCACTATAGCCAGCCATGAGGAGGCTCACTTTGAATGATCTGTCATGGTCGCTTGCATAAAGGCCAGCAAGAGCCCACCCCCGCCCGCCACCACCAGGTACGGAAAATGTCCAACGAATCAGCGTTAGCAGAGCCGTTCTGGCGGCTATACAAAATTTTTCAACAGCGACAGCAACCGCCTCAGGGCCACCACAGGCCACCTCGGTAAGTATGTTTTCCAAATCAGGTAGTATTGGATTCTTTTCAAGGGTAACTTAACTAAACTAGCTAACGGTAGCCAGTAGAGATTGGCTACCAGCACCAATGCACTTTATGTGTAGCACAATTGTTTCTATAAACAGTAAAACTCCCACCGGTAAGTAATGCAGTGGGATGAACTCATGAGCTGAAAAACAAGGTGTGTAAATGTGAGTTCAAGATTATGTGAAGATGTTCTGAGCAGCAAAGCATAAATTATATAATTTAGCATTACAGCTAACCGAGGCTACTTGTCACCCCTCAGGCCCACAAATGACACTGTAGATTGTTGGTCAAATGGAAATCTGCCATCTCACCTTGGCTTACCTGCTGGCCTTTACTCACAAGATAAAACCGTTCTCTGCTTGGCTAGAGAGAGAGAGAGAGAGAGAGAGAGAGTAGTAATGCTGATGGAGGACAGAGGCAGTCACAATGATAAAGACATTTAATTTAATGTGAATAAGGTACCAGAGTGCATACTGTAAAAAAGCATAAAATGTATCTCTCTTTGTTTCTACATGTTCCTGCTTTTTTGTCCTTTGCCAATCACAACCCTGGTTTTTGACTGCTGGGCATATAAACATTAAAAACACATGAAAGATAATGTTGCTAATATTTTGCTAATGTCTCTTCAGGCTCCAACCAGCTACAATAACACACCTGGGCCAGCCACACCCACCACCTCCACCGCGACATCATACAGCTCGGTATACTTTCATACTCATGTAACCTAGCTGGCTGTTTGTTGGTTTTTTAATCTGTGTGGTGTAATGTTTCCACATTGGTTCCAATCATGGTGGCATATTTTACACAACACTAACATGTGACAAGATAACAACGTCTTTGGTATTTTGTTTATATTTTAAAACTCCTCAGGGCTCCAGCACCAGTGCTATCATACCTTTACCAGCAACAGACTTCGCTCCAGTGACTTGTCTGTCAGTAAGTACTCATTAATATTCATGTTCATATTTGTTTGATTTACTTCTCATTTACCTCTCAGTAACCTCTCATCTTTTGATTGTCCATTTTATTTAAACATTCCTTAAATAAACGTACTGTACAATCTATAATTCTCTTCAGTCAGAAAGATAATGAGTGGATGTGAATGCTCATCTGTTATAATGTTTATAATTCTCTCTTGAATAACCTTTGTTTGTTATAGAAACATGCCAAATGTCATAATCTTTGCTGTGTTCTAGAATGACTACCAAGGAAGACATCAGATTTCCAAAGAGGAGCTTGAACATGTTCTTTCACTGAAAACCACCTTTACAGAAGCGGCATCTATTCTCTCAATCTCAAGGCCAAGTTACTGCAAGACTATAATATCCCAACGTCAAAATTGAAGAGCATCAGTGATCAACAATTGGATCTTGAAGTGTCACAAATAAAAACTGAACACCCAAATGCTGGAGAAGTGATGCTTATGGGGCATCTCGGCTCCAAAAACATTGTGGTTCAAAGACAGTGTGTAAGAGATTCACTTCGAAGGATGGACCCAATTGGTGTCCTAGCCAGGAGAAGAACAGCAATAGCTCAGCGAGTATACTCTGTCCCAACTCCAAATTTCCTATGGCATGTAGACGGAAATCATAAGTTGATTAGGTGGAAATTGGTTGTTCATGGTGCCATAGACGGCTACAGTAGGATGTTGATGTTTCTTCACTGCTCCAACAATAATCGTGCTGAAACTGTGAGAGACCTCTTTACTGCAGCTGTTGGACAGTTTGGCAGACCACTGCACATCAGGACTGATCACAGAGGAGAGAACGTTCAGATTTGGGAGGACATGCATGCGAGCAGGGGGGAAGGCTCTGTCTTAACAGGAAGTTCTGTACACAACCAGAGGATCGAGCGTTTTAACCGAGACTTGAACACAAACTGCAGTCATATTTATACACCCATTTTCTATGAACTGGAATCCCTGGGTATCCTAGACATGGACAATGCAACAGACCTATTTTTTTTCCATTATGTCTTTCTACCCAGAATCAACCGCACTTTGGAGGAATTCAAAGCTGGATTTAACAATCACTCTGTCATCTGAAGGAAATGGAACACCAGTTCAGGTTTTTACTCTGGACAGGGATTTGCCTCATCTTCACAACCAAGAACTCTCAACAGCAGGGGTAGTTTTTTGTTCCTCCCCAAACTCTCAAAGAGGATTTTCCCAATTGAATGACAGGGATTTGCAAGAACTGAATGATGCCATTAACCCTCTTCAAAATGACCACAACAATGGCAAAACATTGTTTCAGAGAACACAACAGTATATTTTTGATAAACTTGTAAATGTGTGATCTTAGCATAACATGGACAACTGGGTAACATTAGCCTTATTGTACTTTCAAAAGTACACTGTGAAACAAATATTGATGTTTTGTTGTGCTTCTTGAACTGCAAGATTTAAAGCCTCTTGCCAGCATATAGATGTTTGAAAATTACATGATGGCACATAGTTGATGTCAGTGTTGAAAAAGGCTACAGATGCACTTTGGCAACTGTTACAGAGTTTTATGTCAAGTCAAAAGCAATGGTACTGTGGATAAATACAAGATGACTCCTGTTATTTGAAAGAACAGTGAAATACTTTTCGGGGCTCTACAGATGTATTGATACATAACTGTCTTCCACTACATTGCAGTATGTTGTTCCTGATTTTTAAAGTACCTAAATATGCAAAGTAAAACTTCTTAGTGAAGTAAAACGATACCTGTCAGTGTTTTATTATATCTTATAAATTACATACATAACTATGGTATCTTTATTATGTATCTCTGAGAAGATGGCTGTTCATAAGGTCAGAAAAAAAAGTTTTTAGCTTTGTGACGATGCATTTTGCAGCTAAACCAAAAGGTTTTGTAAAGAGCTTGAGGAGTAGGAATAGGAGAAGGAATTTTTTCAACACATGAACAAATACATTTAGATTTAGATTTAACATTCAGATTTAGATTTAGATTTAGATTTAGATTTAAATTTAACATTTAGATTTAGATTTAAATTTAACATTTAGATTTAGATTTAGCATTTAGATTTAACATTTAACATTTAGGTGTAACATTTAATATTTGGATTTAACTATTTAAAATATCTCTAAATTGACAAATATTGTTGTAAATGTGCAAAAAAGTGACCCTCAAAAATTTATACCAGTTTTTTAAACATTGTTTGAAGCTAAATGTGACAAAATGTTGCTGTTATTTTCAGTGTGAGCCGCTTTACAAATGGCACCCCGTAAGTCTCACCCACTTTATATCAATCAAAAAGAACAAATGCTCAAATCTCTCATGTGAAATAATAAAATATATACAATTAAATAATAAATAATTAATAATAAACTTTGTCAGAATAGTTTGTGATCATGACATTTTTAGGGCCTTTAAAATTGGCAATGGTCGTGCTGATCATCCTTAAAATTCTTGTTATTCTTTTCTTGATTGATTGATTCCTTTTGATTACTTGGGCACACAGTGAACACAGGCCCAACATGCTGTGATAATAAAATGAATTATTGTTATTGTTAACATAAAAATATTTTTCTTGCTTGTCCGTTTATGCAGTCAGCATGAATTTAAAGTGGTCCAATCTGCATCACAAAACAATATATAAGCTACCATCACCTTGCCTCTCCTCCATACACACATATATACTGTCCACACAATATACAGCATCTCTGTCAATCCTATCCTACCAAAGTAATCCACAGTCGAACACAGCATAGTGTGTATTTTTGTCACTACCATCCTCTGGTGCTCTGGGAGCTGCCACCAGACAGGCTGCAGGCCTTTGCTCCGGCTCCCTGAGAGGCCAGCAGTCCTGTCGGTCTCTCTCTTGCTTACCCCGAGCCTGAGGGGCCTCGCGTCTGACAGCCGGTCCCAACGCTGAGACCCGCTCTGACCATCTGTCTGGGCCACGCAGTCAGAGTATTACAGCTGACATGACATTCTCGTTGTGTTTTTCTCTTTGGTGAGCGGGTATCACTGTCACTGTCTATGTTCACTATGATTCCAAAAACATTGTTAAAGTGTCATTCCAATTTATACCAACTTGGGTTTGAATTTCATAGTTTGGTCCTAATCAGTACTGTTGGTAATTGTAAGATCGTACTAACCAAGTTAATTGCTAAGATGTGGGCACCAAGAGATATCACTAAAAAGGAGTCAGATAGGACAAGAAACATGAGTGGTGAGGCCAGTTTTGCCAGGTTAGCCAAGCTATTTGGAGAAGAAAGAAAATGGAGGTGAAATATAAAACAAGTAACATCCATTGGAAACATCCATCACAGTTGAACACAATTTCCCCTTGCAGTGAGTTTGTAAGAGATTATAAACATTTAATGTACGCTCACTTTCAATTTTATTTCCAAATAAAATGGTGGATAATCTGGATAAACTGGTTAAAAGGCGTTTTGTGATGTCACTATAATTACTTTGCTCTGTACAGTATATCATAACCAATGGATCTGATAATAAGACCCAAGTTGTTCTAAATTTTAATTCTCATTTAAGGGATACGTTTGGTGATATTCTATATTTTTCTTAATATGAACAAATCTAAAAACAACAAAAACAACCATAAATCTATCTTATAACAAATATTTGTTATGTAGCCAAAACTTCATAGCCATCTAGACTAGATAAAAACACATAAATAACCCACACCTTTGCAGTAGGGAACATGTTTCTTCATAACGATGAACATGGCCACTGTAGTTTATTTTGAGTCAAACACAAATACACCGTCCTGGTGCTGCAAATACTCACTAGAGAACCAAATCTGTCTCTTGAAATATGCCCAATCCCCCCAAAAAATTTGCTTTTTGATCAGTGTGTCTAACTGTTTTAGGAAATTATTCAGCATTGTATGAAGTAATAAAGGTATACATTTATGACCCAGTTTGAAAGGGTTTGGGGCTGAGAGCCACAGACAAGCTGGGGAAGACTAAGACTAATGAATTATTGGTTTCTTTCATATGGCCAGACTTGAACCCCAAGTCATTCAAACTTTCAATGCTGCTATGTTCCCAGATCTGAGCAAATACTGTGCTGGGTATAAACAACATAAATTATGAAAACAATACCCAAGCTTTAATGAACCACAGCCAACCTTTATTCACTATTACATAATCTCAGGGTGTACTCTCCCAATCAATGTTCCACAGTCCTGAAAGTGACATGAATCACAATTTTTAGCGAGTGCCAGCAAGCGTGCAGAAGCAATTGTCGCTGAATGGGATTATAAAAAGGAACATGTTGCTCATTCAGCTAGAGGGACACGTACAAGGGTTTTGTTTTCTGCCGTTGTATTCCCAGTTCAGATCTAAGGTGGTTTCCTTCAACAAAGCCTGATGTACAACATTAAACAATTAAACATTGAGGTTGGTGGAAAAAGGAATTGTTGATGCAGAAAATTGATTTTTGTAATGCAATGTAATTGAAACAAGTCGCTTTGAAGGATGTCTCAAGCAATGATTATAAACAAGCTCACGTCACTGAGTGTGTTTGTGCATATGAGTGTGTGACATAATGTGTGTGTAACTCATTTATTTACTGTAATCATACTGAAGACAGGTATTCCTGAATGTATTGGGAATAATTTGCCAATGCTACATGTTCTTTTATAATAAGTGTGTATGCATGTGCATGTTATTATGAAACTTAAGGGGCTAGTTTGAGTAGGCTTAACTGCTTCTCAAATTACAGCAAAAATACGCACCTACACCTTCTGAATTTCCTCACACACACATTATAGAATCTGCAGAACCACAGAAGTATAATGTATAATGGGCATTGTACTGTAAACTTTAGCTGTCTATCAGAACAGCTCAGCATCATTCTACGCTACACTGGCACTGTGGGTGTTTGTTTGTGTGGATGGGTGTGTGTGTTTGTGTGCCATAATAGATGGATTCAGGTATAAACAGCTGGTCCTCTTCAACCACGTATTTTGAGCTAGACACAAATAAGCTAATTAATTGTGATAGACTTCAGCCCTAATGTGATTGTGTTTTCATTCTCATCACTCCAGCACGTTCCCCACTGATTCTCCACTCTTTTCTTTATCAACATTTCTCCTTAAAACATAACCTCTCTTCGCTGCAACTCTCACTAAAAGTATTATGAATTCAGGGTCAGTTTCTTGACTCGAGGGAATGAGTTTCAAGAGTAGAATTCCATTGCTCTTCAGCTTACAGATAAATCAGTAATTTATCGAGGTAAATGACCTTCATGTTGCAGAGCCCACACAGGCCTTCATCAACATGAGCTGAGGATCCCATCAGCCTTTGTGTCTGTGTGTTAAAAGTCAAATTTTAGCTCAGGTGGCTAGTGAGAGTGATTCAGTGAAACAGTCATAGGGGCACTCCTTGACCAGTGGAATTTGGTTCCATTTTTATTATCTGAAGTTTCAAAAGTGGGTGGTGGGAGCTGAAAGGTTAAAGCAGTGGTCTCAAAACCAGAGTGTTGGCGGTACAATGTCCTAGATGAGCTGGCCACATTTCATTTGGGAACTGTAATCATAATGTCCAATTTTCATGTTGCTGAAGACATCATTAAAGCTGTTCCTATCAATATGTATAATAACAATGGATCAAATGAGTGTATTGTGCAATGTGAAAGGTGTTTCTCAACCTGACCAACCAACAGAGAATGTTATGGAGCGTTTTGGCATCTTTCAGCTCAGTGTTTTTTTTTTTTATGCCAAATGTTTGGTTCATTCTTAATGCTCTTATGCAGCTGCTTTTAGCAAAAATCGCTGATAAACCCACACTACCTGCTCAGCAATGACAAAGACAGACACAGCAAGCATTTAGCCGTTAAAAAGCCAGATATTTTTCCCAGGAGTTGGTGGAGACCAAAATAAAGCTAAAAGAAATTGAATATTGGACTTACATTTGTCGGCTGACCAGAAACACAACTCCAAATAAATGTCAATGTTGCTCATTGTCTGCTGGATGTGAACATAAGCAACTATTAGCTAAAGTGTTAGTCTTTTTCATGCAGTTCTCATGTGCTTAGTCTATTAAAATTTAAAAACACTATCTTGGTAATGTTAATTATTACTACCTGTGTTAATTAACACACATGGATGTCACAATAGAGCACCAGCATCTCAGACCAAAACAATGGGACAAAACAATTGCCACTGACAGGCTCATATTGTTTCTAATTTCTAATAATCACTGTAACTTCAAAGTGGACAGAAACAGAATAAAACTCACCAAAACAGTCTTTGTTCATCTTTCCACTGTTCTAACAATCAAACACTCTGTTTTGGTCGAAATAAATCTTTTATTCTCTGAAGTGTATAAAAAAAAAACAGCCATTTCAGCTGCTCTACTCAACTGAAGCTATGTAAACAAACCACAGAGAGGCTGCGATAGCATGACAGACAAAGAGAGTGTCAGTCTCCTCAGGACATTACGCAAATTTATATTTACACAACAAATAGTTGTTTGCTGTTGCATTAATGTTTTAAATCTCATATACATAACCATGATGATTTATTGATTTATACTTTGCTTTGCCAGACATTTGCAGTGCTATGGATCTGTTGTTGTCAAGGGATTGGTATGGGACCTCTAGGGATTCTAATAAAAAATAAATTGTTTCAAACTTTAGTTTGGTCTGTGGGAAGTTTTTGTATTTTTCCTTCTTGCCTATATAACATTTAAAAAACACATTTAATGTTTAGCATTTAGTGTGAAAATATGTTAAACAGCCTTTGGGAAAGTTTAACAGTCCTTTCTTTTAAGAGGAGCTGGTAAATGAGCTAAGCTAGGCTACTCATTATTACCTTAAGCTATGTGCAGGGACATTAAAAAGAAATGCATGAGTTTGTCTAAGTCTTGGTAAGCAGGAAAAATATTTTCTACTTGTCCTCTTACCTTGCCTCCCTTTTCTCCTGCAGACAGCAACTTCATCCTGGCCAATGCGCAGGTGTCAAAGGGCTTTCCCATCGTCTACTGCTCTGATGGCTTCTGTGAGCTTACAGGCTTCTCCCGGGCTGAGGTCATGCAGAAGAGTTGTGCCTGTAAGTTCCTGTACGGGCCAGAGACCAGCGAAACCATCATCCTCAGCATTGAGGACGCCCTGGAGGAGCGCAAAGAGTTTAAGGATGAGATCATGTTCTACAAAAAGACAGGTAAGCAGTAGAAAAGACAGTTTATGTTTTTAGTTGTGTCTGAGTTGTGTATTGTCATCTTTATTCCCATCATTTATTATTTAATTTTTCGGCTCTTTTGTGCTCATTGCTCGTCACTTTACTGTAAAACACTCTGTGCCTTCCTCTGCCATTTACCAATTAAGTGTTTTAACCAAGGCAAGTAGACAAGCACAGAAAGCCATTAGAGAGTGCACAGACAGAGCGATTACCATGTGAGACTTTGCCCTTATATTTCCATAAAAGGATGGCAATTCTCTGTGGCTATTTCTGAAGAAGTCACATTTAAATTGACATAGATGGACCCATGGGTGGATGAAGTAATGGCTGGATAAATGGATCCATAACTTTTTTTTATTTGCCCATTCCCATTAAAAGGTGATTAAACAAACCAATCAGTCACAAAAGTCCCCCAGTTATTATTTAACGCTGAGACACATTAAACTTTCATAGCTGTCAGCTAGTGACTCCTCAACCCTGTCTCCTTCGATTACACTGAGCCCAATAGCTAGCCATGGTGTGGTATGGTTTGGTGTGTGCCTTGCTGATTAGCCAGTTGGCCAGTGAACAAAATGGAGTCAAAAATAATGAGCACATCTAGGCATCAGCAGTGACATGCTTTCTGTGATGTGGAATGGTGCCATGTGCCCTTGCATGATTGTTGTAGAGTTTTCTGTACTTTTCTGCCTCACATTGTGCAGTAGATTCAGTTTTGTGTTTGGTGGTGAATTTTTCTGCAAATCAAGAGACATCAGTTATGTCAGTACTGCAAGCTTTGTCATTTTCCACACACTTGAATGGATTTTGATTGAAAGTTCATTCCTGGAAACATGTTGTTGAAAGAGTCTCACCACTACAAGGTCCATTTAGTAGCTGTTTCTGAGCTTTTGATCATTTTATCAAGTTCAGTCTTGACTTTTTGACCTTACAAGACTTGCCAGCGTGGACAAGAAATATTTCAAGTGCTCAGAAAAATGTAAATTTGAGCATTTGCAATTCCACAACATCTGGGCAAACCCCTCACCTGATACTCAAACAGAATTTCAATTCATTTTGCTTTATTCATTTAAATGTGTTTGCCCTAAACATTCATTGGTGAGTGATGTATATTCGTTTCATTGAGTTGCTAGGAGCAGTTTACTTAATGTTTTTTTCACATTGATCAAAGCTGTGTTGATTTAAGAGTTGTTGTTTTTTTCTGAAAGACAACTTAGAACAACTTGTATTGGTGCCATTTTTCTCTTTCTATTTTCATGTAATAGGTAGCTAGGTAACTCTTAATGTCTTACCTATTGAGCTCTGATGGGTCTATTGTTTCTCTAACTGTGGAAACAGCAGTCAGAATACTTTTTGAATTGCACAGTCTAAGATTTCTTTAAATCAACTTAGCAAACTTCATATGCAAAGGAAGGTTGTGTGGGTACAATCAAAAGCTCCAAAACCAAATGGAGATTGTTTTGTTAACAGCTTGTAAGGGTTGTTTATAATACTGTTTTCTCTTATAAAAAAATGACTCATGCAGGTATCATGGTATGTTCTTGTGTCAGATGTTGTTCCACTTTTCTATCATTTTTCTATGAATTATAAAGCAGATTTAGTAGATGACTCAGTACAGTTTGCTTAGACACAGCTTTGCTAATACCATCACAGATGTGACTGCCTACGCCACTCTGTCTCTTGCTTTGTTGTCTTTTCTGTCACACCCCTCTATCTCCTTTTCCCCTTCTGTTCCCTTTCACTTTCCTTTTGTTACCTTTCATCTCCTTCTGCCTCTCCTATGACAATACTATTTTCTTTTCTCCCACCTCTTTTACCATTTCCACATAGTACCGTTTTGTGCCAGTTTGTCTGACTGTTTCCCATGCTTATCTTTCTTTTTCTTTCCCTGCCTCAGCCTTTTTGTGTTGTCTCATCCCTCTCTTGCCGTCTGTCACAGCAGTGTTCTGAAAGCAAACGTAGCTGATTGACTCGGTTTGTCCTCCGTCTGTCAGCCTGAGAAAAGAGAAAGCTGCATGTTCGCAATCAGGAACGCTGTTTCTCTCACTGTGTGCTTGATAGTTCTGCCTTGTCTTGCAGGCATGCAGATATTCACACACACACACACGCAATACACATACACATACACATACACATACAGAGACAAAAACACTGTGATTGAGTCATCACCAGGCAAGGAAGACTTAGTGAGTGGGAGTGATGGGAGGGAACTCCGTGGGAAATCCCTCTTAATCATCAATTTATTTACAGACACTGAACAGAGAAAGATAAAAGGTAGCCCATGTCCTCTGCTTTGAAGACATTCATCTTGACAAAATGTGCAACAAAACTCCAAATTCTGTTTGTTTTTTGGGGGGAGTGGTGAAAAAACATCCCTTTCCATCCCTTTGATGGAAAACATGAAAACTATTAGTTGATCTTCAAATAAGGTATTAATTAAATAATCAATCTATCACAGAGGAAAACATGAAAAATACTGCTATGTCTAATAAAACTACCAGCAAAACAATATACCAGTGATACCGCCAAGCATAAGCCACAGCATGATGTGGATGAGACTAAATTTGATGTGATTAAATAATTAACATTAACAAAACTAAACCCCTGAGACGCTCAAATGCCCAACATAATTTTTGCTCTTCTCATGAAGATTCCCAAACTGAAAAGACATATCCTCTGTACGGTGGCTCATTTAGAACATCTCAGAACTTGTCAGGCAAAGCCTACGCTTAATTGTATTTTATTGTGTCCATATTCATAGTGCCTTTAGCAGAATAATATAGTGTGATAGTGTAATATGAGACTGATTAGCTTATTGGTACCCCAGCAAGTTAACTTTCATGTTAGTATTAATATATAACAAATAGTTCAGAGTCAAACCATCAACAGATTATTACCTTATTATATTGATATGGAGAACTTGAAAAAGTTGCCTATTAACTGTACACATCTAGCAGATACGGAGCAACATTAGCATTCTCTGGAGTCATGTTTCTGGCCACAAGGTGAAAGTAAGTTTAATGTTTAATCTCCTTTAAGCTCTGTTTTAGTCTCCTCTACTCCTGAGAAGAATAATTGTCTCTTTAGCCGCTAAATGCTCCACTAAGTTCACCAGCTAGTGCAAGCGACTATCTGGTGGAAACAAGGTTGATGAGAATGGTGAGACTGAACCAAAACAATGAGGTTAAAGACGCAAAAACGTTCAGTAGAGCAGGGGTTGAACTGCAATAATTATCTGTGGGTTCGTCACTATAAGCAACCACGTTCACATACAAGAGTTATTTAAAACACTGTTAACATACAGATATTTATAACAGCAGCTTTAATTATTAGACAAAAAAATAATCAGTGTCTAAAAACAGCTTTTTGATAAATCAAACCTATAATAGTGATACAGTAATCAGCGCAAGCACACTAACGCCGGTGCAGAAACACACATGCTGACCTGCAATTCCTCTGAAAAGCAATCTATTTAGCAGGAGATGGGACCTCAGAGATGGGTTCATCTCTTGCTGTGCCTGGGGAACAGCGACTTGGTCTATTTAAAGGCTCTGCTTCTCCCGAGGGACTTCCAACTGTAGATAGGCTTACTAATAAGTCTGGGAATCTGTGAAACTGTTGTTCTACACACAACCCACACACACTGGTTATACACACACATTGTAAATCCATGTATTTAGAGATTGTGTATAAAAGTGTTAATAGATAATAATCTTATTAAGAGTGTTTTTCCCTTTCAGCGGTGCTGTTTTGGTGCCTGCTGGACATTGTGCCAATTAAGAACGAGAAGGGCGACGTTGTGCTCTTTCTGGCTTCATTTAAGGACATCACTGACACTAAAGCCAAAACCATTCAAGAGGACAAGAAGGAAGGTCAGTATGCGTATGTGTGTGGGAGGTGTGTTGCTGTTGTTGAATATATTCTAATGGTTCCCAGCCAAGAGAGGGAAATATCCACTCATTATATTAAACTCTCAATGTTTACTATTTGTTCAGCATGTGGATTTAATGTTAAGGCCATTGCTAACTGCCACAAGGCAGGATATATCAATTTTACATTAGGCCAATTTGTACAAAACTTTAGACAAAACCAAACCTCAGCCTCCATTTTAACATTAAATCTGTATGGTGTGCAGTGTGTTGAGTTTTAGTTGTTTTCTCCAATAAAAAGGCGATAAAATCAGTGTATCATCACCTCATTCTACAACATTTTCTTGCTATTTATAGTGACACCTCAGTTCTGTAGGAACCAGATATTTCAGTGCAATAGGTTTGTGGCTACTTTCAAACCAACCCTGTCTCCTTGAAATTACATTTGTATAGTACTTAATTGTTTAATCAGACATACTGGGAAACGTATTTGCTGCCCGGATTATGTTGAGTGTCAACTGAGTAGAGGAAGTGCTACTTTTTAATAAGGCACACAAGTCGTAGGTACAGGGTCGGGGGGGGGGGTTTAATCAACAACTTTCCATAACCTCGACCAAGAGTTCGAAGTGTTTTGAGCGTCAGTGAGTTATGTTTAAGTGGACAACAAGTGGATGTTGGATTGATATTGTAGGAAAACATACAAACAAGCCTATACAAACATTTTCCAGATACGTTCTGTATGAACATTTTTTGACGTCCATTAAAATGATTTCCTCATTATGTTGATAAAAAAAAAAAAGTGGATGGTATTATGTCTTTGGAATAGTAGTATATATATAGTAGCATATTATATTATATTGTAATTATGGTCATGTATTCTGATCTCTTTAGGAAACCTTATGAAATCTTATATTTTAAATAGATAAACGGGGCAGCATTTTCAGAACATTTGTAAAGCTAAGCTGAGGGCTCCAATATCTTTCTTAAAACCTCACCACACAATATATCAATTATGCTCATCATTGTATATACAAAGAGCAACAGGAAACAAAGTTGCAAATTCTACCCTTAAAATCAATTCCCTCAAATTATTTTAACTTAAGGGTGACACATAAGCTAAAGCCAAAATCAATTTCCTCAAATTATTTTACCTTAAGGGTGACACATAAGCTAAAGCCAAAAGCAGCCTATAAAGCGCGAGAGAAGGTCATTGTGTGCGTGTATGTGTGCATCTGTGAAGTCGGCAAACTGACTTTTCTCATCTCAGGCCTGCCTCCCCTGGATTTGCCTAATTACTCTCATTACTGTAAATAAGGGGAGAACACGAAGCAGAAAGCAAAGTTATTTTTGCCCACATAATGAAATGCTTTTCATAGAAAAGGAAAGAGGCTGATGCAGCATGCCTTTATACAGAGACACCTCACTTTAACGGGTTTGGGTCTGACAAGTTAGTTTAAGTGAGTATATGTCAGTGAATTCTCACAAAACATTTGCATTTTGATGCCGTACTCAGTTTGGATGTAGGAAAGGATGTTTATGGACAAATATAAAATCATTAAAGATCCCCTCCAGGCGTGTATTAAGACATATACAAATAGTCTGCATGGAACATTAATGTGTGTTTGATTTCTTTTTTTCCACAAAAAAAATCCAAAAAACAATTTCCACTTTAAAATCATTAAAAAGCCCTGGTGGCTTCAAGTTTCTAAATCACACTTGTATAAGTTTCATACTGGATAAGGCTTGACTTCCAAAATATTTGTGATGTGAAAAATCATGCCTGTAGGCCCCGCCCCTTAAAATCTGATTTTTCATGAGCACAGCAAAACTTTCCAAAGATGAATGTGAAAACGTCCTTCTAGTCTCAAACATATTTTTAAGGGAGGGCTTTTGGAGGGCTTTAGCGCGCTTAAATATCCATTCTTGCTGGGGAAGCCTTTCAAGGACGTACGGACTCCTCGGATGTGACCCAGTTAGCTTTCTGTCGGAACAATGTGGACAGTGTGTACAAAAAAGGGAAACCCAGTCTCCGGCGTCAATAGTCTCCTCTCTTTTCACCCCCTGTCTCCTCTCCTCACCTTCTCTATTTTCTCCTTTTTTTCTGTCATGGGTAATATCTCTCTACTAGCTTTTTTTCTTGCTTTCCGCTGTCTTTTCCTCCTTTCCTCACCTCTCTCTCCATCACCTCTATTTCTCATATTCCAGCTGCTTTTACAGTATCTATCCATTCCCACCTCCCCTATCTGCCCTACATGCCTTTGCCCTTCCCCTTATACACAACACCCCTCCCCACCTATACCCCCCGAACCCCCCACAAGAAAGGCTATAAAAGTGGAGGGAAATTCATTAGATCTAAAAATAAGCATGTCTCTGTCTGTGTGCTCCTGCCGTGTCGCGTCCCCGAAGGCTGTGCCGCGTTATGGATGGCCCTGTCTGTTCGCCTCGTCTGGGGTCCATACACACACCCACAACACACACCACAGAACGCACACATTTTCCAAAGGACACTCAAAAGCAGTTATCACTTCTATTCTCCAGCTTTGTTATTGCCGTTATCCCCCCCTCCAGTCAATCTGGCCTTAGTCCTTTCCTGTGGTTCACAACAGTGAGAATGGAGCTCAGAAAGCCAGCAGCAATAAAGTGCCGTCTCCTATTACCCAACTCCTTCCTCTGAACACATCATTCCTGCACTATCTACTTTATCTACTTCTATACACTTGGAAGAAACACACAAGCACGCTATCGAGTGCACACACACAAACGCTCTCCAGTAGCAATCGACCACAGAAAATCTACCATACTATACGTAACTGCCTCTGCCCCAGCAGCAATTTATCAAAGCTGAAAATTGGTCTGTTTTGCTGGAGATAGTGTTAACACAATAAGACATCATCAACCAATATTTATGGCTGGATAATGTGCATCAAAACAGGTAACACATGTTCTTTGACATTTACAAAAGCAAAATGACAGTAAATAGCTTTTTTCCTCGCTTCACTCAGAAATTGTGCAATTTGCTCAGAAATGACACATTTTTCCTGTTGCATATTCATGTTTTCCTATTCAGGACAGAATATTATGTATTTCATCAAGCATAATGACTGATTCAGTCATCAGGAGTTAACCTTGGGGGGTAAAGTATTGTAGGGAGGGATGTGTACTAACTTTTGTGTGTGTTTGTGTGTGTGTGTGTTTGTGTGTGTGTGTGTGTGTGTGTGTGTGTTTACAGAGCGACGGCGCGGCAGGGTGAAAACAGGCTCTCCATTCAGCTCGGCTCGTCTGCGGAGCAGTACGGTGCTCTACCACATCTCTGGTCACCTCCACAGCAGAGAGAAGAGCAAGATTAAACTCAACAAGGTATCATCATACACTTCAAACAACGGGGCAGGATGTGACATGATGAAGGATCATTCAAAAGTGGGTGGGGGTGGACTGTTATATGGGAAGTGAGACGATTGCTGCTGTTGTTAACACAGTGGACTAAATCAAAGGGCAGGGAGCTGGGGAGAAGTATTGTGTCTAGGTGGAGAAGGGCTCTCCAGTTAACAAAACTAAACAGCATGTTGCATTGGCTGATGCTCTTTATCACAAATTACTTTAAATGAGCAAGCACGTCAGATATTTATAGAAGTTGATTTTTATCACAAGCATACTACATTGTCAAAGGTCTTGACCAGAATTAAACTAATTTTATATATTAGGAAACATTTCAAATGTAATGAAAATAATAAATAAGTGATCATAAAATTTAATGATTTAAAGACATAATAGTTGAGCTAGCTAGTGTTTAACTGTCTCTGACTCTCACTAACCTTAAGTACTAAGTGTAATGCATTAAATTTTTTGGGCCACTTGGGTGCAGTACAACAAGCTTTAACACAACTTTGGTATATTATCATCTTCTCTTAAACAGGCAGGAGTGGAAAATAAGTTGCAAAAAACAATTTAATGTTATCACTCATCTCTTTAGGCCCTAAGAAAAATATTTCCACATTCAAAATATATATATATTCAATATTTTGGATTTTATGAGTTGTATCTCCCAGGATACATTGCCCTTTTAAGGTATAAACAGAGCCCCAATGACAAACATTAATGTTCAATTTGATGAAGATAAATTATACATTGTTGTATTCCTTGGTCATTTACATTTATTTACATATACACAAAGCCTGCACCTTCCCTTGTCTGTGAAAGCTGGGAAGTGATCCACTTGATCATGGTGGACATCAACCATGGGTCTTGGGGTTGTTGGCCTTTGTATGCATCTGGTGGGGCTGTGCACATTCTCCTCCCCTCCTTTGGAAGGCCTTCCCTTCTTCTTTCCACTGTGGATAAGGGCATCTGCAACCTCCAGCCTGAATACCTTGAGCTTTTTGTGCTTTTGATTGTACATTGTTGATGGCTATATCAGCCATTTGCCAAAAGAGGCCCAGGTACCACCGGTGGGACTTTGCAGGGGTGCGGTACAAGGCCACCATCATGTCAGCAAGGTCAACTCCTCCCATGTGGACATTGTACTGTGACACAATGTTTGGACAGGGAACAGCAACTCTTCTTCTCTCCTGTCTGGAGAAACGCCTGACTTCCTTGAGAGGGCTGATTGCAGCACAGGAGCTAGCTAAGGTGACAGCTTTGTTGTCAGACCATTTTACAACAGCCACTTCTGCCTCATTATCCACCCTGTAGTCATAGCTGCCCCTTCCTTGCCTCAGCAGAGCACGGTCATCCTTAAGTGTGCATCCTTTAAGCCTATTCTTGCGGATGGTTCCCAGACTTTGCAAACCAAGGGACTCCTTCAGATGCACAATGAGTGGGAGGGAGGTGAAAAAATTGTCAAAGTAGACAACACACTCTAATGGGTTCTTGATGGTCTTGCAGAGTTGAATGACAACATTGGCTCCAACTCCAAGTTCTTTGGCTGGACCTTGGCCTGTGCCAAATGTGCTCTTTCTGGTGAATGTCAGGAAGTCAGAAACTATCCCAGAAACGCCTGCTCAAACGAAGATCTTGAAGCCCCAATGGTGAGGTTTGCTCGGGAGATACTGTCGGAGAGACCCAGCCTTTGTTCCCTTGTAAGGGACCATCATTTCATCTATTGAGAACTTGTTCTCACTCTCAATTTCCAGACACTTCTTTCTTATGTGCTCCAGCACTGGTGTCACTTTGCAGAGCCTTGGGTTGGGTCTGATGTCTGATTGTCTTGAAAGTGGATGAATCGTGAGAGGCATTTAAACCTTTTTACTGACATCTATATTGGCATAACGTGTGTCTTCTGCCCAATAATCATCCAGAGATGGCATTCTCACCACTCCCATGATTAGCTTAATGCCAACAAATGACTTGATCTCATCCACAGTGGTGTTAATGCTGGCTCCAATTAATTGACAGCTGTAGAGATTTGTCTGTTCAGCAATATGTTGGAACAGATCGCCATCAAAAAATTAGCTACGTGGAGAAGACAGCTCATCAGGTGCACTGAATTCACTGGCAGCTGCTGTTGACTGGTGCTCAAACCCTTTCTTACGCCAGCTGTAAAAAACAAACAAAAATATATACATAAATACATAACTGTGTTATGTTATTTGTACAAAGTGGTATGACTTATGTAAAGTATGGACTGAATTTAGCTGGTTAGGTCATACTACTTTCAGTAAATATCACAACCATACAGAAGGTTTGTGTTTTTTCACTTTACATCAACTATTACACACATACATTTGTATGGATTGCACATATAAGTGTCCCTAAATAAAACTACTGTCACCTGAATCCCTTGGCTTGTTTGGACTTTGTACTGCGATCCATCTCTTCATCCTCCTCATCAGAACTTTCATCCTCCTCATCAGAACTGCCTTCACTCACTGCCTCTATCTCATGCTGGCTGAAAAATACTTCCTGATCTTCATCACTGTTTGACTCAGAGTCAGAAGAACTTGCAGGGATCTCCTCTATCACTCTCATTCCTGTGTTTTCCTTTCTTTTCCCATAAAAGGACCTAGCTGAGATGCCCTGCTTGAAAATAAATAGATTTTAAGTAAAATACAGTTATACTGTTGTAATGGGCACAGCTGTGCATGATAATATGTGGTACTGCAGTAATTATTAACATGCCTTCCAGTTTGAAACAAAATTTTGAATAATGCACATTGACCAAATTTCTACCCCTAATCTGGCAACGTATCTCAGGGGATACATACATTTCAAAAGCTGCTAAGTAACACCACAAACATAGTTGGAACATTTTTTCTTCATCAGAATGTTTAGACAAATGTCCTAATTAATTTTAGGAATTAATATTGTTGTTTTATTGAAAATAAGTATGACTAATATATGATTACTTACCCCCAAGGAAGCAGGTTCTCCACCACTGGCGGCCATGATATTTTCTGATCAGGCTGACGAAACGATAAAAGATAGCCTGAACCAAATCATGTGATCTAGATGCTAATACCAGACAAGACTTTTGATAAATGCTAACTTGATTAGTGAAAACCTCCCAGCACACCTCCTACAGGATGTTAAAGAGTGTGTATCTCCTGGTGCACAGTGCCTGTTGGTGATATGGCAAAGATTTACGCTTATAGCAGACACAGAGCAAGATTAGCATTCATTTAGTCATGTTTAAGTGTTGGCCAACTCCTGAGAGAAAAATCTGGCTGTTCAGCTGCTAAATGCTCAACTTTGGTAGATAGCATTCAGAACTTTTCCACTGAAAACATCTGCTTGCTACAGCTAACAACAAGTGAGTGGTGATGGTGTATCAAACACAGTAACGTTGCGGGCCCTATAAGGTTATTGGCCAAAATAGCATTAGTTTAAATTTCTTGTAATAGCTAGGTTTACAATTGACAAGTAAATTTTCTTGCAGAAATGCTTACGTATATAAAGAAAGCTGGTTTAAGTTTTTTGATCATTTTGTTTGTTGTTATCTTTGGTGCATAGAATTTCTTCCCTGCACATATAGACTTCTTGATGGGTTGGACCATCAAAGCAAAGAAAGTGGATGTAACAAGTTGTTGCTACTGTGTCACTTCTGTTTTTCAATCCTGTCCTGTCCAGAATGTGTTCGGGGATCCTCCTGCTCTGCCAGAGTACAAGGTAGCAGACGCCAAGAAGTCCAAATTCATCTTACTTCACTACAGCACGTTCAAAGCTGGCTGGGATTGGCTGATTCTACTTGCTACATTCTATGTTGCTGTGACGGTGCCCTACAATGTGTGCTTCATCGGTGATGATGATGACCTGACCCGCAGCACAACTGTCAGTGATATCGCAGTGGAGATACTGTTCATCATAGGTTAGTTGCAGAACTGAGGAGTACACTGTCCGGTTTGTTAATACTTTAGACTTTACAGTATAATCTCCAGCATTTACAATGACCAAACCCACCACTCCATTTGTTTGTCTCTCTATTTTCCTGCCAGACATTGTTTTTAATTTTCGCACCACTTATGTCAGCAAGTCGGGCCAGGTGATCTTTGACGCTCGACAGATCTGCATCCACTACCTGACCACATGGTTCATCATCGACCTGGTGGCCGCTTTACCCTTTGACCTGCTCTATGCCTTCAAAGTCAGCGTGGTGAGTAGCCATAGGCTTGATGCTTAACATCTAGGATTTAATATAGAACATAATCACTACTGTGTGTTTTTGTTTGTCACTCATGCCATTGACTTCCAAGAACTCTTTGATTTAAAATACAACTTTCAATGATCAAATACAAACCCAAACAATATTTTATATTCAATATAATTCTCTGAAAAAGTTGAAATATCCAGTTAAAAAATGGAAGGAAGAAATAAATGATAAACAAGTAAAAATAAATTAGTAGAACATGATTTAAATACTAAAAATCTCATGACTGATGGATTTCTCTGTAGCCTCTCAGAGACCCACTTTCTAATCCTGTCAACACATTGGGGCATTGTAAAGTGCAACACCTCCAGCACATTTGACATTTCATAAGAATAGATTGCATGCAGTGTTCCCGGCACTGCTCCAGAGCCTCTTTGATTCTCCTTATTGATTCCACATACTGCAAATGCACTGAGAAAACAATCAAACGGGTATCATTAAAACCTTTTCTGTTCTCCTTGAGTCATGGACCCCTTAAAAAAAGTTGAACGGGGGAAGAAACAGAGATGTGGAGCAATTAGGTAGACGTTCTTGTCTCGCCCCTGGCTGAAAGATATCCCACAATGGAAGCATTACATTGTAGGGAGGTTTGATTGGTTGCTTTTATCATTGCGTTGTTTTTGCTCCCTGAAATGATATGTTTTGACGGTGCTTTAAGCTGCTGTCTGCTCTCACTCACCCAGTGTGATGTAAATCAAAGGGTCCAACATATGAGTGCACGTGTGAACCAAACACACAAAAATAGTTAGCTTTTAAAGAATCCCCATATAGGCAGAACAACAGGAAATCAAACTAGTTAACTGGGGCTCTTTTTAACAGGACTGAGAAAGATTATAGAATGATAAGGAAAAGAAATCAACACCAAAAAAGAGGAGTAACTCTTGTAAAGAAAGCGAGTAGAGTGAGAAAGAAACCGAGAAAGAGAAGGAGGAGTGGCCAAAAAAGTGCTGTGAAAGAAAGTGTGAGGGAAAAAAACAGAGACGTTGCCTTTTATACTATGAAGAGGAGGGGTGGGTGCAGTGGCAGGGTGCTCCAGGCGAAGGTGCCTGTTTGGTTCCAGACGCTATTAATGGAAATACCACTCGCTCCCAGTGGGTCGGGATTTGGGTGTAGGGCTACTGGGCCAGAAGTTCCCCAGCCGCCGCCGGGGAGAGAGGGAATGGCCTGTAATTGCTGAGCTTTCTGCATGATTGTCCCCTCTAAGGACAGAGCATTCAGACTGATGTCCCCTTTGAGGACAGACGCCATCTTTCACCAAAATGAGCCAAGGGGCCTCAGCAGTGTCCCTCCCTGGTGTTTTTCTTTTTTTGTTTTTGTCATAGCCCATATCTCTATCATTTCTGCTTTTTTGACATGTTTTACTGTCTGTCAAGGGATCCCATGTCACCCTGGCTTTTCGTTTCTTTTCCTTTATTGTTAGTGCAATACCTATATTGTTTTTATTTCCTTCATATTTTCCCATGATTATCCCCTCTTGAATATCACTTGTTTGTTTGTTTTCCTTTGAGGAAGTGCAAGGGTGCAGCATTTCTAAAAGAAGCAAAAAAAAAATTATTTTTAATAGCAAATTCAAAAAATGTACACTCACTGCACTTCTTATTTACTTCTAAAACCAAATTGTGCTAAACTAAACTGTCTGAATGTTCACCCATTTCATATTTTGAAGAGGTTAACATCAAAAATCATCTACACAAATTGGTCAGTAATAAGATAATGCAAGCACTAGTCTCCTCCATTGGTTATGTCTTTAGACCAGGGCCCAAAACAGCAATGTGTTATTACCTGCCATAACTGTTACAGTAATTATTAAAGCTCCTATGAATATGTCTCCTTGGCCCGGAGGCTTTGCTGGTATTGGAAACAGTGTTATGCTCGCTTATTGGCCCGATACTACTATGTCAATTAAACAAAGAAGAAGAAACATGACCAGTCACACTGTTATGATAGTGCTAAAGGTGTGGCTGCAGGGGGAGAAATAATGAGCATTTCTGTAAAGTTCTAAGCAAATACACACAACAAATATTGCCTTGAAAAAGGAGAGGGAAAATAAGCAATCAAGTAGGTAAATGTAAATTTCACACCTGATGAGCAGAGGACATGCAAATGTGAGTGGCTGGAGTGAGAAGGAAGTGGTAGAAGAAAATGTTGAAGGAGAAATTGGCAGGAGGTGTGTGTGCGTTTGTTGGGTACATTGCTTACTGCTCATGCTGCTGGAGGAGAATGGGATATGGTGCAGCAGCCTGCTCTCTCCATAGGTGGGTTGTGGGGTGGTGATAGATGGTGGAGAGGAGATCGAGCTTCTCCCCAGGGCTCGGTAGGAGGCCTCATTACCCCTCGTGCTGCACCAGTTCTCTATTTCTCACAGCAAGAGTGTGGAAAAACCGCCACAAAACATACTAGAGACACATGCAGGGGCAGCTCTGATGAGGACTGTCCACACATTTCCTCTCAGCTTTGTTCTATCGCTCTGATTGTGTAATTCTCTCTCACTCACAAACACACACACACACACACACACACACACACACACACACACACACACACACACACAACATTCTCTCTTCATCATTCCTTTACTGCCGATAACCCACACCCTCCCTCTTTATCACTCTATTTATTTTCGTTATTACATTCTACCTTTTCTATAGAATTTCTGTCCCACTCCACCCATACACACACACACACACACACACACACACACACACACACACACACACACTAGACAAATACACATGCAACATACATCCTCATAGAAAGGTTACAAATATCCTCCATGTCCTCCTTTTAAGTAAAACCTGGTGTGTATATATGTGTGTGTGTGTGTGTGTGTGTGTGTGTGTGTGTGTGTGTGTGTGTGTATACGTGTGTGTGTGTGTGTGTGTGTGTGTATGTGTGGTGGGAGGGGGTACATTTATGTCTATCTCCAATGGGGATACACGATGGCAAGGCCCTAAATGATAGACTGTTGGTAGAGATTGCCTGGGGAGCAGGTGCACAATGGCTGACATTGACATCACATCTACAGCATGTGAATGTTGGAAAGGTGTGAAAGGGAACTTGTGTGCGTAAGTCAGTAGAAGGAAGCAGGAAGCTCTTGGCAGAAGTAGTTGCCTTTGTTAAAGAGTGACAGAACAAAGCATGAGTGAGAAAAGAAAGCCGGAGTAGAGAAACGCTGTATGGCGATGAAAACAAAACAACACACACCTGTGAGCAAGCGCCTGATTGCTGTAATTGGTATTTTTATATTCAAGGATCCTTCATCAGGAAATCTTCATATAGATCATATTGTTGATGAAGCATTTGTCAAGTTCTAATTATAGAACCTGAGAGTATTTACGCAGCCTCTAATGTTGAAGAGGGCATGGAGAACGGTTAAGAGCTCATTGTCACCTGAGGCAGAGCTATGTATGCGATTGTGTATTAGTGTGTGTGTGTGTGTGTGTGTGTGTGTGTGTGTGTGTGTGTGTGTGTGTATGTATTCAGCTGGTTTATCTCTTTTCCCATGAGATTTACTATCTGTAAAAGGGCGGCTAGATGGTGGCAGGCTGCTCACTTTCATGGTTTCTGTTTCACTTTATATCTGTGTCAGTCTCTCTGACCTTGCCCACAGCAGAACACCAGAAAATATCAAGAAATGAAAAGGAGATTATGTAGTTATGGAACTTAATCACTGCATAGTAAGGAATTAAATATGTGTTGCCTTCAGGAGCTATAGTTGTGGAGAGGGAGGTGGTAATGATGCAGTGTTGATATACATGTGTGTATTTTGATTGTACATGGTGGCGAATCCAACTGTGACTCCTGCCATGTTCAGGAAATGCCCTTTATGATAATAACTGCATGAAATCAATCCATTCGCCATCTGCATCCTAAAAATAACTTCACCTTGTTTCTGTTTATCCCCAGGTGTCCGTGGTCCACCTGTTAAAAACAGTACGTCTGCTCCGTTTGCTGCGGCTGCTCCAGAAGATGGACCGTTACTCACAGCACAGCACGGTGGTCCTGACGCTGTTGATGTCCATGTTTGCCCTGCTGGCCCACTGGATGGCCTGCATCTGGTACATTATTGGCAAGATGGAGATGGAGGCCAACGCTTACAACTGGGATATTGGTGAGTGAAAGAAAATGATCCCATTTAGTAAACCCTCAAATACCCAAAACACCTCCCAGCTCAGTTTGATTTTGATGAGCTCCACAGCATCATTCCTTCCACACTGGGAGTGATATTGCCAACCCACACAGCACCGTATTTTGGATAATTTTCTTGTGCTGAACCATTTCTCTCCTGCCACAGCTCCACCGGGGGCGCTATTAGCTGTGTAAGTTTTGTTCCACATAGAAATTAATACAATTTTTAATTCAGTTCCTTTCAATTTTATTTGGATTGTGCCAAATCATAACAGAAGTTATCTCAGGGAACTTTTTTTAAATAGGGTAGGTCTAAACCGACTCCATATAAAATTCGATATATACCCAACAATTCCCACCATAAGCAGCCGACCGTGGCAAGAAAAAAACGTTCTTTTAACAGGCAGAAACCTCGAGCAGAGCTCTAGGTGGGCAATGGTCAGCCAACCAGTTGGGGTTAGAGAGAGAAAGAGGGAAAGAAGGGCGTAGTGGGGAAGAGAGAGAAATACATCTCTTATTGCCTCCACACCCACAAGACTTTCACTGGCTTATTTTGGATACACACATTTTGGTCATAAGCAATCATCATAATCTAGCCTTCATACAGAGCCATAAAACTGAACAAGATACTTATTTCTGTGCCACCCCAAAATGAGCACTGGCCTCAGCCTGGCCACTCCAATGAAAATGTCACTGGATATTGGACACTTTACCAAAACCAGGAGGTGTATCTTAAGAGACCGTTAGAGCTTAGATCAGTGTTAATGTGTAATTTCATAGGCCTGTATTCCTCCAGCATAAAGCAGCTATGATTTCCTTAACTTTAATGCTTATTGACTTTATATAAAATGTGATGTCATACCAGCATGACACTGAATCTGCTGACAAAGCATGACAAATAATATTATTGTGGAGATTCAAATTTAGTAAATAAAATACTTTGCTATTATCAGATGAGCCCTGACTATCCCAAGATATAATCCAGTTTGAATAGTGAATGAGCTGCAGTGAGTAGAAGGTAAACAATACTAATGTCTGTTTACAGAAAAATTAACTGGAAGAATCAGAGCTCACATGTGTGTGAAAAGCGATAGTTGTACAACATGTGTTCAACTAGCGAGCACAACGCTAAATCCTCATACTGCCACTACTTCCTGCAGCAAGACAAGGTCAGCTTTCATACATGATGCTGAAGGAGTGACGACCATGCATCAATCATGATGTCGCTGGGTTGGGACGGAAGGCTCTGAAAACCATCCATTAAAAATGAGAAGGGACTTGATCTCAGTTTCAGAATAGATCTGACAGTTGTGCTCTTTATGCACATGTAATTGTTTGTGTTTGTTGTACAGTATGCATGCAGTAGTGAAGCTCGATTAATTATTTTCATTTTATATTCTTCTAGCTGAGGGAGCCATTATCCAGCTTTGTCAACTACTATACTAAATCAATATAAAGGGAACACTTCCATGGGCAAAAACCTGTAAGAATAAATGGCTCATGACTTGTGGCTCAGAAAAAAAGCTATAAAGCTAAAATGTTTTTTTATTGATCATCTGGCATTAACACAAAAAATATATTTCACTTTGATCACATAAATCCCACATATATTTCATGTAGGAAACTTCTCTTTCCCCACTTTTCTACTCTTTGATTTCTTGTGCTCAGATTTAACTTCTGCTCAACTCTCACGTTATGTGTGGGGCTTGGTAAACATGTCAATACTCTGGTGCACTGCAGTTTCATTGCTCATTATTTCCAAATCAACAGTGGTTCTGAAAAGCTATTGATGCATGAAATAGTGGGGGTGAAGGTGGGGGGGTGAAGGTAGGTAGGAAATTATATTCACCCAAGGACCTGTTTTTCATCATGGACCTCTTTCCTGTGGGATTTCAAGCTATTAAGGCAAATGTTTATGTATAACCAGGATTAAAAACTATCTAGCATAATAATGCACATTACCCAAGTGTAGATGCATTGCTTGGTGTTAAAGCACTCCACTAATATGATTAATCAAAAAGACATAGATGTCGGTTTGAAACACGTAATATTAAGAGGATCCAGTGCAAACAGTGTGATTCTTCTCATAAATTCCCGCTCAGCCTCCAGGTCGTTTATATAATGAGGACCCTTGGGCTGATCTCTGGTATCGATGAGCTGCACTGCTTGCAATTACCTTGCTCTGGGGTCTTTCTAACCAGTTCCGGGTCAGCATTGACTGGGTCATGAGAACGATGCAGATTTCTCTTCACCAATTACTGCATTTCAGTGTCATAAAATAACAGGTCAGTGCATGAGGCAGGATTAATGTGTTGTATCCTAATTATGCGTTTCTGATGCTGAACTGAGTGTTGAAGTTAGGCAGCTATGAGGGGCTTCCATCCAATTACCATTCATCAGTGTCTACAGGAGACTCTCCTGGGATCAGCTGCATGTCTCCACACTGTACTGACCAAGGATCAGTTCTGGTTCCCAAGCATCTGATCTGCTTTTTCTGTTGAATCCATTGTTCTGGATGTTCACGGAGGAACGCACTGCTTACCACAGTTTACAGAATGAGGAAACAATGCTGTCAGCTTCGTTTGCATCACATGCTCCGCTGCTCTAAGCTTTGAGATGTCCACTGCAGCTCCTTGTATACAAACCAAACAGTTGCGTGAATGCAAGTTTCATAATAAGGCTCCCTTTGATTCTTTTAGTAATTGCTGTAGATACTGCTCAGAATAGTTGTGGTTTCTTGAAAATGATTCTCCCAAGTTTGCCTCTTAATGGCCATTCTCTTGTGACAGATTGAGCTGTCCAATGGTATTAGCTTGGAAAACACAATGAAAGTGTTTTAGTTGCTATCTCTAACCATCCATTTGTCCTTCTATCCATCAATATCCCCATTTTACACCATCTTAACAAACAGGATGGCTCCATGAGCTGGGGAAGCGCCTGGAGTCGCCATACTTTGCCTTAGAAGGTGTGAACGGGACCGGCAGCGGCCCCTCCATCCGCAGCGTCTACGTCGCCTCACTCTACTTCACCCTCAGCAGTCTGACCAGCGTGGGCTTCGGCAATGTGTCAGCCAACACTGACACTGAGAAGATCTTCTCTATTTGTGTCATGCTTATCGGAGGTACACATAATACACGCATCATTGATATGATTGATATGTTAAGTTTTATAAAAATCAAAGCTTTTGATGATCACATGTGGTTTGGAGGTGACTTTTGCTTGCTTTGTGTCTCACACAATTTAAACAATTTACATTCAGACATTAAATATTTACATCTACTACTAATCCATCATGTCTTTGTTTAAGGATTCAATATCAACAACATGGGGTTTTCTTCCCTCGCCTGTCACTTGTTCTATTTAAAGTAAAATATAACTGTGGCCAAACACACATTTGTGCATTTGCACATACACACAGTTTCATTATAAAGCTATGGCACGTGTTAGGTATATTAAACAGACCATTGCAGATTGCAAATCTTATCCAGTTTAAACTGAATTGTTACACTACGTTTGGGTTTTTTGGGGATGAAGAGAGTTCACTGTGACAGGGTTTTCCCTGTGGACACTCCCCACTCTCGTTCTGCTAAATGTTAAATGTCCCTGGCTGCCTGAGGGCAGAACCAGTCACAGATGCACACCACACATACGCACACCGTCCCTTGTGTGTTAACACAAAATGAAAACCAACACAAAGCACCTGTTCATATTTATGACAGAGCATAGGTCAGATGTGGTGTGTTTGTGGAAGGAATTGGATTATTGCCTCATTAGAATGAATAGCAGATCTTCTTTTATTCCACTATACAATTCAAAATATGAACATCTGTATGCCAAAAGAGGAATAATTTGATCTGAAAAAACAGTTACCTAATGCATTTTAAATGCTGTGACTTAAGAGCAGAAATTTTCAGTCACACCCTAAGCATGTGGTCTGTGTTCTGTGCTTTCATGTCCAGAGGTGTGCGACACACAACACCGTTAAAACCTAAATGAGATACTGAGAATACATTTTCTGTGGGCGTAAAAGATGGCAGGTATCTGTCATACTAATCAAATTGGCTCCCCTCAGTCCTAAAACTGATGCTCCTGTCTGAGAGGTGCAGAGTTGCAAGACAGAAATGTAAATTTAATATTTAGCTGGTTGACTAGTTTATCTGTTTATTTGATCACATAAAGATTCCAATAAGAATGATGTTTAAACATATTTACATGGCAGAAGAATATCCAGATCAGGTTTCAGAAACTAGATTTTTGCAGGGTTGGAATCTAATTAAGTACATTTACTACCTTTGTCTGATAGCTTTAGTTACTAGTTACATTTCAGATTCTCATCTGATGAGAAAATGTCCCATCTTCTCACTTGATTTTTTACTTCAGTGAACATTTTTCTAATTCAGTCAGGAAGAAAGAAAGAAATAATTAATTTCCAAATGCAGAATGTTATATTTAGCTGTATGGCTCTGTTCTGGGACCTCCTTGCCCTTCCATGTGGAGAGCAGCAGCAAAGACCCCCAGGGTACAGAACGGAGCAAGCATCAATGACAACAGAAATTACATTGATTAAATCAGATAAAAAGGGAAGAGCTGGGGTGGAGGCGGGTTGCAAAGTGTCTTGCAGAGGAAGCAACAAGGGTAGGCAGGCTAAAGCAACTTAAATAAGGCGCCCTGAATGACATTTGCCATTTGGATGCTTGAGAGGAATCAGCTGAGCCATCAGCTGTTGTGTGTTCGCAATCAGCTGCGATCAGCTGGTGTAGCTGGAATCATGAGCTGACTAATGCTGTGCTCAATTAAGTTTATGGTCTTAATCTTTAGAGTTCTTTCATACAGCATGTTATTATTTTTTTTAGAGTAAAATAGACGAGATAGCAAGGTATTGTTTGGGCCGTGGCTACTTTGGGATTGAGTCTCAGGATAGAGCTGGATAGACCAGGATAGAGGTGTAGCAATGCGTATCCTCCCCAACTCCACTCTCCAGATATGGTCATTTCTGGCAAAAAAAAAAACAAGGTGGCAGCAGTCATAATGAGAAGCTTCAAGGCAGTAGTCTACAAACCAATGGGTGACATCACAGTGGCTCTGCCCACTATTTATTGTCCTTGTCCTCTTATTACACCTTGTCACTATCTAGTTTATAGGAGCTAGACAAAAATATTTCTCTGCTGGTGCCAAGCTTCTGCCATTAAAGTAGCATCTAGCAGATTTTCCTATTTTGGTTCCCTGTGTTGACAATCCAATGCACAATTTCACTTTCACTTTCATTCATGCTTATGCTCTATTATCTCTCCCCTGTCTTACTCTCCCTTATGCCTTCCTCTGCTCCCCCTCTTTATACCCGCAGCACTGATGCATGCACTGGTGTTTGGTAATGTGACGGCCATTATCCAGAGGATGTACTCGCGCTGGTCCCAGTACCACACCAGAACCAAAGACCTCAAGGACTTCATACGTGTCCATCATCTGCCACAAAGCCTCAAGCAGCGAATGTTGGAGTATTTTCAGACAACCTGGTCGGTCAACAACGGCATCGACTGTAATGAGGTACCATAAGCACATAAACCTAGGCTGGTGTAAATCCTTATTCTCCCTTTTCAGTTAACTTGTGTTTTTGACACCCAACAAAACAGCATATAGGGATCAATAAGTCATTTGAAAGATCACATACTTCTCCCTCCTCACATATTGTCCACATTCAAACTCATCATGAGAGTGGTAATGTGATCAATATTAGACAATCCTACACAATGCAAGAGCATGATGTTTTCCTCAGCACTGACTGACAAGGAGGGGACAGAAGACAAGAATGAGAGATTGAGACATCACGTCCGTCTTACATGGTCATTTGTGGGTGACAAGATATTTTGTAACCTTAATATTCAGAGGTTTAAATCCTAGCAGAAGTGTTTTCTAAATTGCTTCTAGTCAGACTAGTCAGATGTTAAGATGTGGGGTATCTAGGTGACATGATTGCAGGACCATGTCAATGCAACTTGGAAAATATAGTATATTCACTCCAGAATTGTACTTAAGTACATTTTTGAGGTACTTGTGATTCACTTGAGTATTTATTTCCATTTAATGCTTCTCTATACTTCAATATCACTACATTTCCAAGGGAAATATTGTACATTTATTTGAGCACTTTTAGTTAAAAGTTCGATTGTAAATTGGAATATGCAAAAAACAACATTAAACTATCCAGCAGTATAGAAAGAGGTTAAAGTTAGCTCCACATTGACCTCCTTTCATAATGTGATATAATGTAATGTAACGTTATATAAAATAATATACAGTATATAGTAATATAACGTGCTAAAAGGGGACATTTGCTGGTAATACTTGGTAGTATGTTTACCTAGGTTAGTCAGGCAGTCTGCAAAATGCCAAAAACCGACATAAACAATACATATTAACATAAACTGAAAAATGGAGACATGTGGAGAACGGAGCAAGGTTTACAAACTTGGCATGAGGGCAGCTTAGAGAAAACACAAACAGAAAGGAGGGCGAGCAACACCTTTTTCTTGACAAGCCCGAAGAAACAGAGGCAACCAGTTAGCAGTCTAATGGCAGCTCGTCCCTCCAGGCTGTGAATGCCTGCGAGACAGCTGTCAGAGCTCAGACTAGCGTTTAGATGGAGTGATGATGATGAATCCCAGACAGATGAATTATAGATGGGCCTGTTGATTAAAGTCAGCCTGGCTCTGAAGACTCATTGATCGACTCTATGTGATGGTGAGCTCCAAATCTTTGTCCTGACAAGGAGACAGACAGAAAGATGATATGCAATGTTTTGACTGTAATAGGGGTTTTCCAGATTGCATTTGAGTGTTTGTGTTATGTGTGTAGCAACTGTGTATATTGTGTTGATTTACACAGTAGCATATTAGTAGTATTGGTAATTAATAGTATATTTTAATATAGAAATGTTTATTCTGAGGGTCCATTTTTAGTAGTGGATAGTTAATATCAACGTTCTAGGCTCTGACTTAAAATGCCTTGTTCTAAGATGTGTATATTTACCCTCACACAAACCAATCATGTTATTTTTGTTTATTAGGGACTGGAAATTAAAATATTCACAGAATGTCTTCGAAGAGGGAGGTTTCTGAAGGTTTTTGAAAGAGGTTTTCCTTTCTGAATCAGAGGCCTAAGGATATAGGGTGTTGTGTGTTGTGCAGATTGTAAACCCTTCTGAGGCAAACTATTGAGTTTGGGCCATGTAAATAAACTTAACTTGACTTCACACTGATGTTTACTGTAGTACAATAGCTTAGGAATCAAATCAAAGGGAACCAAGGCTGGAAATTTAATCACTGAGTTGCAGCATGGTTGTGTTTTCACAGCTGCCTTTCGTCACTCTTGCCTGCTTCCCTCTGTCTCGGCCTCATTCCCTGCCTCTCTCCCTCCCATCACCTTCACAGCTGCTGAAGGACTTCCCGGACGAGCTGCGATCTGACATCACCATGCACCTTAACAAGGAGATCCTGGAGCTGTCGCTGTTTGCCTCCGCCAGTCGTGGCTGCCTGCGCTCCCTGTCACTGCACATCAAGACCTCCTTCTGCGCTCCCGGAGAGTACCTCCTCCGGCAGGGCGACGCACTCCAGGCCATCTTCTTTGTCTGCTCGGGGTCCATGGAGGTGCTGAAGGATGGCATGGTGCTGGCCATCCTGGGTACGATGGAGGATTGGGGGGGGGGGATGGAGGAGGCGGTGTGGATAAAGGAGCATGAATCCCTCTGTGCCATCATTATAGTTTTACAAAGAAAAAACTCCCAGCAGCAAGCTTCTAACAAAGCTCTGTGCGGCTCATTGTGATAAAGCCGGGTCTGTAAATGAGCCCATTGTGTAGAAACAGGAGCATTACAGTGTCCTAAAGGCTACCACTCATTCTCAGAGCCTATTGTTATTAAACTCCCATAAAATCAACTCTAGTTAGATGCTATTTTTTCAACAATATGTTCTAGAGGTGAGAGCCAAAGAAGGATTTATCTCTCGCTTTGCAAGCAAAATGGGGGAGCTAGATTCTTAATTCACTAAAGCTTTATTTGTCAGTCAACATAACAGTGTTGATAATTACTGGCTGGTCCAGTGAAGGTAAGCAGAGCTGACAGGCAGATGTCAAATCAGACCCAGCACTACAGATTCTATATATTATATACCACTAATGTATTCAGAGAAACCCAGGATTGTCCAATTCCATACAGGTTAAGCCACTCCAATCTAGTGATGTCCAGCTGAGTATGGTCAAGTCAATGGAATAGCCTTGTAATTCAGTCCTGTCCACTTTAATCTGTGTTAGTCAGTTCAGTCCAGCCCATTTCATCAGGCCAATTCACTGGAGTCAGGTCATTTCAGTTCGATCTAGTCTAGTGCTGTCTGGTCTAGTCCATAGTTGAAATCACTCATTATATTGGTTCCCAGGGCCAAATTTGTAAGCATTTTCATTCGCGGAGTTAAATGAATATTTGACTCACTAAGGCACTTAAAATATCAGCTGTTGGCTTTGACTTATGTGCAGTTCTACAAGAGTAATATAAAACTTAAAAGGTCTATTTTATCAAAACCCTGAAATCAGAAGTTCCAACAACAACAAAAATGTAGCAATGCTAAAATAGACTCTGGCTTCTTCTCATTAATGGAGAAATGTGGTTCCAAAACATTTGCTAAAGCTGCAATTCAGCTCAAACTCAGAAATATTATTTGTATTTTTTGTCCTTATTCATACACTTATAATAGTCATCATTTTTATAGAGTGTTGTGCTGTTAATGCAGTGGGAGTTATTATGTGAAGTTCTAATGAAGAAAAAAAAGTAAAGACTGCTTGTTAAAAAAGTTTTTTTAATATATGAGACATCACAACCAGTGACAGACCACCTCAGGGATCTGACCCAGATGAAGAAACTGATCTGGCACACACTTCGACCACAGCAGGTGGACCGTGTAGATGGTTCTCATATGACTGGTGTCTCTATAGAATCCTGAGCTAATATCCAAAGTGTCTCATTAGCAGTTTGAGTCATCAATTAAAGTACAATGTCACTTTTTCTCTATTCTATCATGAACTGCTACACTTCCTGACTAAAACAAACAGAATATTTTAACTTTTATCGCATTTTTAAGTGTAAGTTGGAACAACAAGGGAAGAAATAGGGTTGTCCATTTTTATTGATTGTAATTTAGAATGATCCCACTTTTATAATGATTGACTTTATTTTATTTTATATGAAATCTGAAAATAAGAAAACGACTCAGAGGAAATTCCTTAAGACAAAATTCTCTCAAATTGGGTGTTCTGTGGACTAAGGTGCATCTACTGTGGGGGTCATTGCCATTAAAACATTTGGGAACTGATGTAGACATCCCAGTCTCAGTAGACATATGCACCAATGTCTCCTCTTGCTGGTTGTGTTGACAAATTTGACCAAAATGACCAAACTAAAACTAATGTCATTTCCTGTATATTTGATTTTGGTTCATTTTGTAAATATACAATATATAGTTTTGATTTTTTTTCTTAAGTCAAATTTCTATTTTTATTTCAGTTAACTAAATTGTTTAGTTTTAGTTAACGTAGTAGTAGATGAGAAGATTGATGCCACTCTCACGCTTGTGTGGTAAACACTACAGCCAGCAGTGGGGTGAGCATAGCAGCAGCTGTGAGGTTGGGGGAAACCGCTAACCTGGCTCTCAATTTTGCACCTGCTTTTTGAGAGGTGGAGAATCTCCCACTCAAACACGTATGCTTACAAATTGTGTAAAGGTTTAGTGCCGCAGTGAAAAGCACCACAGATATACAGATATAATACCTGTGTCTTGGTGCAGAAGGCATCTGAAAGATGATGCAAACAACCCTCAGTCTAGCTGTTAGCTGCTGTTCCCAACCGGCCATATCTGCTGTGTAACACAACCTCTTGTCCTGGCTGACCTTAATGGCTTTTGCTATCTGAGTTATAGACCAGTCTGGCACAAGTGTGTGTGTGCCAGGAAAGTGTGTGTGTGTGTGTGTGAGTGTGTGTGTGTGTGTGTGTGTGTGTGTGTGTGAGAGAGAGAATCAGCAAAAGCAACTTAAAGATCTGATTGTGAAACTCCATCTATCACTTTGTCTCGGTTGGTGTGGTACTTAGAATCTTTATCTCAGTCTCTGTTGTGTTTGTTTGAGTGTGTATCTGTCTGTGTGTGTGTGTGTGTGTGTGTGTGTACAAAGTGTGTATACCTGTTGTCTTACCAAAGTGCAAATGTTAAAAAAAAGTTTGTGTGTGTGGAGTAGGTGGAATTGTTTACTGGTGTAGAGAGTGGTGTGTGTGTGTGTGTGTGTGTGTGTGTGTGTGTGTGTGTGTGTGTGTGTGTGTGTGTGTGTTTTTGTGTTTGTGTGTGGGTGGGTGCGTGTGTGTGTGTGTGTGTGTGTGTGTGTGTGTGTGTGTGTGTGTGGTTGACAGGCAGAGAGCATTGTTTCTGTGCTTGCCTGCTGACTGTGCAGAAGGTGAGGCTGACATTGAGTGTCTGACTGAAGGAGAAAAAAGCTTTTCTCTCTCGCTCTTTCTGTTTCTCTTTTTTGTGTGTGGGTCTCTCTCTACCCCTCTCTTCGTCGTCAACATACAAGTCTGTAGCCACAGCTCAGTGCCACATAATAGAGAGTAGGGGAGAGCAAGAGAGGCCATGTTGAGAAACATGAAACAGAGACTGTGAGAGGATGAGGAGAAGGTAGGGCTGATGGAGAGAGAATGTGTGTCGTGGAATATCTGACAGAAATGAAACTAAAGTCAGGACTGGACTAAGGGAAGGCAGACGGGGTAGGGAGAGGAAAGATGGAAAATAGGGAGGAAGAAGGGCGAGAGAGAGCAAGAAAGAAGACAGGGAAGAGGTAAGATAGGGAGGAAAAAAGAAGGAAGGAAAGAGTGAAAACAGGGAGTAGGAAAGTAAGAGAAGACAGAAAACAAAGCAGGGGAGGAGGCGGAACAAAGGAAAGTAACATTTTTTCTTCAGGAAAACAGGAAGGGAGGAAAAAATGAATGACTTGGAGGAGAAAGAAGAGGCAGGAAAGAGGAAAGGAAACAACACAGAGAACAGGGAGACAGAAATGAAGAAAATAATAGAAGACAATGACAAAGGGCTTTGATATAGCAGGAGGAGGGAGAAATCTAGGAACGGAGAGAGGGAAGAAGAGGAGCAATGACTGAGGTGAGAAAGAGTGAACTGAGAGACAGTAGGAGAGGGGGGAGTAATAACAGTCACGACTGCCGCTCCATCAGCCTCGGTGTAATTGAGCAGCGTCCACAGTTCACAATGGCCATAATGAATATTTTATCACTGCTTAAGGGGCATTAACACTAACGGGGTCTTTACAGAACAGGAAACAGCTGCCAACGCTGCTTCATTCAAACACTGAAATTCACTAAAGCAGTCATTAAGTTTTAGTCTACTTAGTCCTGTTCTTATTTTGTTTTTAAGGTTGTATTTAGTGATCATGATTGACTGCTCAACAATACCTCTTGTTACTTGTCTTTTGCTAGATGACCAGTTGTGCATGTTTTAACATCATCTGACAAGCAAATGGCAACAGTTGATGAGCAACAGACATTAATGTTAACATAAACACAGAATAGAAAAGCTTGCTGTCAGCTCTGTTTATTTACAGTTTCCTTGCTGTTCTTTATTGTAATGTTTGATGAAAAGAGCTGCGAGAAGTAGATGAAGAAGAAGTAGGCAAAAGCCTTAATTACAGTGACCTTAAATGATGGTGGAATGACAGTTTTGATGCTAATTTTATTTCCTCATGTTCACCCCAATCATGTCTCCTAGTTCAAAGAAATAGGCTCAAGGCAAGAATATGGCAACAAATCAAACCAAATGTTCAGTCATAGTGATCAGCATGACACTATTTTAATATAATGTGAAAGAGCTGTAGCTCATCTGAACCATCATCCATTTCTTTAAAACATATTAACAATTACAACTGCAGACTTGGTGGATTAGAGGATTGGACTACGCGTATTGACTAGACAGGTCTAGCCTCGGTATCATGTGGGGCCAAAACCCCTGAAACACTCCAACCTGAGAGTACTTCAGAGACTCTCTACATAAATGGAAAATACAGTATGGAGCATGTTGCATCCTCAACCCCTTTTACCAGAGAATAAACACTACACTGTGACCCTTATTCTGACCTACCTTCTCCATGTCTCTCTCTGAGCAGGTAAAGGTGACCTGATAGGGGCGAACCTGTCCTTAGATGACCGAGTGATAAAAACCAATGCGGACGTGAAAGCCCTGACCTACTGTGACCTGCAGTGCGTCAACCTGAAGGGGCTGTATGAGGTGTTGGACCTCTACCCTGAATACTCACACCACTTCATCCAGGACATCCAGCAGGACCTCACATACAACTTGAGGGAGGGACATGAGACACATGTAAGTCCATCAAAGTAGTATTGTTACTGTCTCTGCAGGGTGTCATTACAGTATAGCAGATTTTCACCCAAAAACACACAGAAAAAAGAGCAGCTTAAACTAATTTGACCTTGATTTCATGTCCTAATGCACGCAAAAGTAATTGTGTTTCATGCTGCAAGAGGACAATGATGAGCTCCTCTTGTGATGTTGACCAGAAAAAAAACTTTAGAAAAGGCTAATAGAAAGTAAAGAGAAAACATAACTGAGGTGCTGAGTCTCTCAAAGAAATCCATAAAAAATAAAATCAAATGTAGTTTTTTATAATCATATTTTTCACTCAAATGTTTGTATTGTTTGTCCAATTTATACCATTGTTTAAATAAACTACATAAACCCTGATAACTCCTGATTTATTTTTGTATTAGGAGAAAAATAAAAATCAGAAATTCAGTGTTGATGAATCACTTTATACACACTTGCCAATTCCTATGTATAATGAATCAAAGGTACTATAATAATGTGTGAGAATGAGAGAGATGGTTTAGTGAGAGGAAAGAGAAGGGCAACAAGGGTGGAGTTGGGAGGGTAAGGAATGGACTTTGAGGGCAGCTGGAGAAAGCAAGAGGGGAAAAGCTTTAAAATAAAAAGTGTGTGTGTGTGTGTGTGTGTGTGTGTGTGTGTGAGAGAGAGAGAGAGAGAGAGAGAGAGAGAGAGAGAGAGAGAGAGAGAGAGAGAGAAAGAGGGGGCAAAAATAGCCGGGGCACTTGGAAGAGCTCTGCTGCTGTAATTACAGTCAGGTGTTTCTGTCTCTCCAGCCCAAACACCGCTGGCCCAATTACACACACACACATACACACACACACACACACTACCCGCTGCAGGGCTTTTAGGTGAAGCTAATGTGAAGAGGTGCAGTCCAAATCTCAGGACTGAGTATAGAGTTAGAATGAAGACAGGAGGAAGGAAGTAGCTCAGGATAGAGGATGTGTTTGTGGCTAGGAGGTTGAGATTGCTGTTTGGATATTACTGTATATGCGAACAATGTGTTTTAGGGTGAATTATTTTCTATGATTGGATCACCGCAGGCCATATAGTCATTTATTATATTCTTGTGTCTACTTTGTAAAAAAAAAATGCTGAGCACTGTGAAATAGCTCCTCTGTAATTTAAAGCTGAGAAAAGAAAGGGCAAGTCTTGATTGCTTTGTCCTGCAGTTCATTTACTGTATATTATGTCTCTGGCTCTCTTCCAGGTTAAGGCCAGACTGCCTACAACAGCTCTAGATACTCAGGTAACAGACCACAAACACTGATTGATGTTTAACTTTCTAAAAGGCAACATACCGTACTTTGAGACAGGTACCATTAACTCAAAAGATTTGTTGATACCAGCGATTTAATCAGCTCACAATCTAAAATAATGAAACTCAAATTGACGTTCAACCGCAGATCAATTTTTCTATGAAAAGTCCACAGGGCGACACGGTGTAGACCTCCAACACTGATAATGGACTCAATCACTCTTTTAGACTTAATGATTCTGATGGAGATATATATATATATATATATATATATATATATTTGGTGAGGAGGAGGAAGGGAGGAGGAAGATCAATTCTTCATAGAATGAGTTAGCAGTCATTAAATCCTGGCTGCTCCAGAATAGAGTGCGAAGAAATGCTCTATATGCTGTCAGACTGCCATTTGAATGTTGTGAATCTGAATGTGAGTCACACAAATATAATGATCTGTAGTCAGATATTTTACTAAAAAATCAATTCAGCTGTCGGAAACATTAACCTCACACTGCTGTTGGTTTCCTCCAAGAGAGCTGGGTCATATGCCGCTGATCAATAGGTTACCGTTGACCTTATTTCTGTTAATACCTGATTATATCCTCATCTCGTGGTTGATCTGTGTCCTTGCAATTTAGCCCAACTGCTGCCCCCGTGACAAAAGAGGGCTGTGTTTATTAAGACTGATGTCAGAGTTCAGAAGTGTTGCTTTCATTATTCTGCAGGTCGCAGTTTCAGTCTAAAATGTTGATCTGGGCATTTTTACTGAGCCTTGTCGCCATTAAATTCAGCTGAGTGGTCTGCCCCATGCAATTAGAAATCATTAGTACATACCTATGTATTGAAAACACATCTGTGTACTTCAGGGTCATGGTATTAACTATTCAAATGGAGTTTAGTGTATTCAACATCTCCAGAGGAAGCAGAAAAAACGAGGATGGCACAGAATATCGAGTATTGCGGTTTTTGTTAAAAGAGGCATTTAAGCAAATTTGGCACCATCTAGGCTGATGCTTCAGATGACTCAAATCCACATGAATAGATTTTGATTTCATGTCAGCTCTTTGCTTTTTCTGCAGTTATTTAATCTCCAACAAGTTGTATTTCAAAATGCCCTCAAATCAGAGGTGATTGATATTTGTCACTACTCTCAAACATTTCTTTTCATATATATATATTTTTTATATTTCCAGTCTGGGGTGGGAAGAAACGGACGAGTGGTTCAGGGCTATCCGCCCATCATCGAGGCACAGCAGGAACATGAGGAAGATGATGAGGAGGAGGATGACGAGGCCATGTCTATATCTCTGTCATCGGAGCGGAACCAGGCGGTCAACCTCAGGGACACGGGTGGGAAGTCTCCACTAAGTCGACCCAGCCAGAAGACCACAGGACAGAGTTCCAGGAGGTCTCGGAGGAAGATCCAGGAAATTACTCTCACCACTTTAGACCCTTCCAACCTGAGCCCCAGGTGAATTTGATCACCATTGATTTGTCGGCCTGTGTATGCCTGTGTCTCTGTGACTCAGTGTTATGTCTATTTTTGTCATTCTTTAGCACAGTGCATGTGGTAGAAACTAGGGATGGGCACTTTTGACAAGATGGGTAGTATAACTATGAGAGAGAGTTAAATCAGATACTTTTAAGTTAATTTGATCAGTCAAAGGTAAACTTTTGGCCAGCACCTATACAACCTTCCCTCACGTTATTTAATCAGCAGGAGGAGCAATGAATTATTTAATCAGACCACGCTCTTTTGGAAACATCCAAAGGTTTATGCCAACATCCAGGCACACACTTCTGACCTGCGACATTGCTCTACTAGCTACTACAAGCACAATCTAGCAGTCAAGTGCAGTGGTGTTAGCTAATCACCCCAATTTGGATATAGTTCAAGTTTTAAAAAAATCTATATTATTATATAATTTTATAGTAGGAGAAAAGAGAAAGATTTTGATAGAAAAGTACTCAAAATTTTGTTTCTGATGTCAATTTAGCATCACAGTGAGATACTTAAACAATCTAAACATGGACACAGAATTAGAACTTGGAAAATGTATTTTGAAATCAGTTGAAAAAAGCCAGGATACAGTTAGCCTAACATAGCATAAAGGCTGAAAACGGGAAATAAAAACTAGTGTACAGTAAAATTTAAAACATTATAAGTAAAACCCCAACTTGCTACGTTTACACTTGTATTTTTGTATGGATCCAACAAAAAAGATGTAACATGTTAATCAGTGAGCTTTAGGTCTTTTTTTGGTTTTGACAGAGCCAGGTTAGCTGTCTCCCTTTGTTTCGAGTCTTTATGCTATGCTATGCTATGCTATGCTATGCTATGCTATGCCATGCTATGCTAAACTAAGCTAAGCGGCTTCTAGCTATAGCTTCACACACTGGTATCAATAATCATCTTAGCGAGAAAGTTAATTATTTCCTGTGAAAGAACAACATTTAATCAAATTATTAATTGATAATATTCATTATCATTACATCATCAGTAACAGTCTCTACTTTCCTACACACACACACATCTGTCTCTCTGCAGGATAGTGGATGGAACTGAAGACAGTGAGGGGACGGAGAGTTCCCTGGCTTTCTCCTTCTCTACCACCCGAGGCTGTCCCATCAATGAACCAACCAGTGCCTCAGCATCTGCCACAGGTCCTCCCATCCAACAGTACCCAGCAATTTACCACTCAAATATGACCCAATACCATTTACAATCCCTTTAACTTCCCACATGCTGGCAAATGAGAAATGTTCACATCCAAATCCCTGCAGTATGGTTGTATAATGAGGGTGATTAATGTGAATTTGCACTTTCTGTCAATGCCTGCAGTATTTATCAGCTTCCCTGTTGCAATAACTGCTGGGTGTAAATTCTTAGTTCCTATTTGGCACTTGAAGTGATTTGTAACTTGGTAATTTGTGTCACAGATATGCTGCAGATCAGCACAGCAGAGCTAGCAGCTAAAGCAGAGGAGACCAGAGGACAACTGCGACACCTTGACCAGCAGGTACAGTAGGACTGTGTGTGTGTGTGTGTGTGTGTGTGTGTGTGTATGTGGTAAGAGACAGAGAGAGAGAGACAGACAGGTGGGCTCAAGTAAGCACAAGCCATATGGCTATATCAGCATGTCAGGCACAAGATGGGTGAAAGCGCTGAGAGAAATAATGAAGCAAAAAAGCTGAGACAAAAATAAATAGGCATAAAGAATGACTACTCCAGATGTGCCGTTATAGCTGGTTAATAATGAGGCCACACATAATGGTGTCATTTGTCTACCACACTCATGAGCCTTACAATAAATGTGCCATAGTCTGCTGAAGCTCAGGACCTAAAGTGTTTCTTTTGTATTTGTTTTGTGCCAGGTATTAACAGACCTACTGTGCCATGTCAGTCTCATTGTATAGTATCATTTTTGGATGTTTTATAGACTTAAGTGGTTCATTGTCCAGCTTGAAAATAATCTGTTCACACACACAGCCTCTCGTGCTGTATCCTACGGTTTTGATTGGCGGGTGGCTAAATTGACATTAGACTTTTGGCAGGTGAGGAGGAGTGTTTGCTTCCTCCTGCTAAGCCTCAGTCTGTGTCCTGGGATGTGCAGATAGAGGCAGAGAGAAAGGGAGACATGAAAAAGTGAGGGAAATGAAGAGGAAAAGGGGAAAGGGCAGATAGCTTTATGAGGAGAAACAAAAAGCAAATCAAAGAAGGATGAAAAGGGGAGCGTAAGAGACAATGCTTCAGCACTTTCACAGTTATACACATTGGCTCTGTTGTCCTTTCTGTGTCTCTGTGGGTTACCGGTGTTTGACAGGAAGTCTCTCAGCATGGTGTTGTAGGTTGTTAATCCTCACTTGGATCCATCCACACAGATCACCATAGGAGATGAAAAGGGGGTGTTGGTTTAAACCCTATCTGCTCTCTGCACAAACACAAATACAAGTGACAAATGAGGCCATTGTATGTTATGTGGCACATGCAGGATAGTTCAAAAATGTATTTATTTTTGTGTTCGGTCTGCAACATAGAAAACCAGTCCTCCCCAGTTCTGTAATTCAGTACTGTGGACATTTCCTCATCGTGTTTTTGTTGTTGCATCTCAACTGTAGGTGAAGAGCATCACAAGAAAACATTTTAACACTAGTGAAAAAACATTTTAAAAATGCATGCTAAAAAAATGCAGGCTTGCAGGGGCCTAATTTATTGGTTGACAGTTCCCATTACCTCAGTCAAAATCAAGTAGCAAGGCCCTTTTGAGACCCGTACCCACTCATGTGAATAAAAAAGCACAAACTTCCATTGTAAGGTTAATTTATTTGCTGATTCTGACGTGAACCGCACAAAGGTGGCAGCATTTTAATGAACAACAAATTGTGTGTGAACACAGTAATGAACCAGCTCTGCCTTGGCCTGTGACCTCTTAGCTTTACCCTTTAACTTTATACAACATCTACGCCACTGAAGGGTTTATTCAAGTGGGAGCTGAATAAGGCATTAGTCTTATTATATAGTTAAAGAGAGGCCTAACATGGTGACCTTTGTTCCATGTCATGGAAATCATAACAGCTGCACAGGAGAGCTGGAACAAAGAGAGCTTTGCTTGAACAATCTGAAGAGTTACACTTATAATAATAATAATAAATACAAATAAATTAGAATAGGCAAGAAACATGCAACATTGTGATACACACACATTCAGTACACCACAAATACACTTGAAAATGAAAAATGGGTACACACGCGTATAGTGACCTACTTTAGTAAAGTAGGAAACAACAACTAATACTGAAAGCTCTGAGCAAGTACAAAACAGAATTTTTAAACATTACATAAACTTAACAGCAGCAATAATGTGATGAATGTAACTCCAATATTCACTCTTCCTTTTAAATCTATTTTGGTCTCCACAGACCCAAAAGATTCTGGCTCTTCTGCCTGCTAAATACTCCTCTAGCATTTGGCAACCGGCTAATGTAATAGCTAAATTTTCTGTCTCCTGTTTAGTTCTAACCAGGTAATGTACAGCCTGATGGTGGGTTCTGGAAAAACTTTATCCAGCATCCATCAGCTTTTGTAAGTTGTGGCACCTCTCTCCTTTTCTCCAGCCACAGGCACAACAACCAAAAGCCTAGACTTTCCAGGAGAGTGCTTCAAGATCTTCCCAAGTTGGAAATTAGGCCAGGAAAACTACTTGCATGTTTATAGTAGTACAGTTAGTCCTAACTTCTCTTGGGACCGCTACTTGAAGAGTATCTTAACCATTGTCACATTCAGAGATCATATCATCTGAGCTAGCTTTGTCATTCTCACGCTCCATATTTTTCAGGAGAGCTTAATATGCACCTGAAGCTGCAGTGGTCATCCATGGCTGCCGCTTTGTCTGACCATCTCCACAGACGGTTGTCTCTGGGGTGGGAGTACTGGAATCATGTTGACAGCGTTTCAGATTGGACTGTCCTGTCGCGCTCCGCTTTTTCTATTTTTATCAGTACCAGAGTTTATCAGCCACTCCAGAGAGGGAGAGAGATGGGAGAATTGTGAAAGAGGGAGAGAGAATATTTTTTCTCTGTTAAAATTATTGTCAGGGATTCAGTATGATAGATCAGAGTTATAACAACCTCGGTTTTAAAGGATATCAAGAACGTTCAGAGTATCAACTGATATCTGAGTAAGACAATGAATTTCATCACAATATAATACATTTATGCACTCAGCCTGATCACCTCTTGACGTGTTCACATAGCGACTGGAGCGGTTCCCACCTGGAGTTGTGTGTCCTGCTGAGGGCTGATGTGCATCCAGTAGCACTGATGTGCGTGATTGGCCTGATGAATGGTCATGAGCGCTTTGACTGGCAGAAGCAGATGGCACGTTGGCAGCGCTTCACGGTCGTGCCCTCTATGGACACGCCACGTGCAGAGAGCAACTAATCACCAGCCCCCCCTCATCAGTGTAATGACCAATTATAGCAGCACGATGTTACATGCAAAATGGCAGGCAGCAGACAGAAATATTTTGACCCAAAATAAATGACTGACCTGAAAATACCAAATTCATAATGATGTGCTGTATATCCTGGGGCCTTTTGTTCCTGGTAATCTGTGAGTGTTTCCTGGAAAGTTTGTCTTTATTACATTGAAAAGTCAACTACATGGCAGCAACTTCATTTTGAGAGTTATAAGCATAGAGGCAATGAGGTTTGGATACCAGAAGTGGTGACAGAATCAAACGCCTCAAGCAATGAGAGGAATACTGGTGAGTTCATTGTGTTACTAGGAAAGCAAGTGTGCTGATACCTGTTGCTTTATTTTGATAATCTACTAGACCATTATTTATTTAAGATGTTATCCTGATTTAAGGCCTGGTTGAATTGTCAAGATGTGCGGTTTCCTCAGTATAAGCAAGTACAGTTCATTACTACAGTAAATACTTAATATGAGAGTAATTGGTGTGTCTTTTTACAGTGCAGCCAAACAAACTAAACAAGATACAAAGTATCTGTCAAAATTTAATTGCAACCACAATCCGAACAGCAGGGCATAGTGAAGTCCCTTAGTAAATGATAAATGGTAAATTAAAAATGTTTTTTTTTTAAATGCAGAAAATCCCCATGACTAGTTTTATAGATGCATTTATGATGAATGATCATAGTTAGTGCAAACTTCTTTTGCCAGTTGGATGCTTATAAGCAGTGACAGTAGGAAAGTTTGCATTGGCAGTAAATTAAAACAGCTCTTACACTGTGTGAAGAGAGCGAACAGTAAACAGTGAGGCTGTTATCAATGAGATAAAATGGTTGCCGGATTACATGCATGCATCATTTCCTGTGAATCTTTCGAGCATAGGTAAGCAAATTAAATCCAGTGCAGGAATGGCGGACTCTGCCACCACAATACACTACATATTATGCCACACCCAATCACATTTTTCTTCCTCTTTAACACTAAATATGATTTGTGTTTGTGTCTTTAGGTGAGCACCCTTGGGAGGGAAGTGGCTGACCTTGGACGAGTCATGAAGAGAATGGCCCAACTCATGGAGACCCTCATGTCATCAGTGCCACAACCTACATTAGTCTGCCCCACACACTACTCTCCAGCACACCACACATATCTGCCCCATCCTAACCCTCCTCAGTCTTACCCTTCACCATCTTCTTCTCAGACTGCCTCCATCTGGATGGACACACCCATGTCATTGCCCTCTTCTCCCCTCATTATTCCTCAGCAACCTGGTACGATATGCCACAATGACTCCCTTACACACCGACCCCAGGACCTGCAGCTGGGGTATCCTGCTATCCCCAGCTCAACTTTACCTCCAACTCCCAACTCATCTGCCCTTCAAGAGCCTCACCTGCCTTCCTCACCCCTCAGCTCACCAGAGACTTCCCACTACAAAGACGGGGTTCCTGGCTCCATCAGGTCGGGGCTACACAGTCCACCCCTGCAAGACGGGGGAGATGAGGGCCCTCATCAGAGCTCTGGGTGTTCTTCACCAACTGGACTTGGGGGAACCTACCACAGCACGACCAGGGGTTTGTAGCAGCCCTCCAGCTGAACTTTCCTGGACTCTGCAGGACTTTTTCCAGGATATTTTTTGGGATATGTTCCTGACCTACAGATCAAACTGATCAACTGGGGTCCCCCATATCACTGGAGGACGTTTGCAGGGATGCAACTCAGTTTCTTTTTGTTTTAAAGGCACGTGTTTAAAAATCATGTTGCATGAAAACAAGTACAGAAGGTTTAGGTGTGTTAGCTTTACCTTATAGAAACGTAGTGTTGTTAGACAGGATGTAGAGGTTTGGGTCAGTTGTGGAGCTGTATGATGTCAGCTCCCTGGGCACAGCTCACCCCCAACCCGCTACCCCTCCCACCTTTAGGCGGGATTGTGCCATAATGGAGGACAAGAGGGATATGGAAGAGGGAGAAAGTTCTTTTCTGTCCTCTCTTTTTTCCCCCTGGCTAGTGATAGTTTCAGGTCGGCTGGGCTGGTTGGAGGATGTGAAAGCATTGTGAGTGGTGGGCTTTGGAGACAAGGAGGGGAGGGCTGGGAGCCGTTAATGTCCTTCCCCCAACCCCCTATCTTTGCTATTTCCTCTCCTTTTAAACCTTCTTTCCTTGCTCAGTCAACCCATGCCTGATGTTCTGAATTGTGTGGACCAGTGTGTAGCTGGTTGGGGCTGGTCGCACTGGGAGCACAGAATGGTGTGAGAATAGAGAGGGGTCGTATTGTGCTCTTTGCCGCTGGCCCTCAGGGAAGGGGAGGTGGAGGATGGAGGAAGTTGGTTATGGAGGTGGTGGGGGGGTATGTTATGCCTCAGGCACCACAGCCCCTGCTGTCGTCTGTCACACTGAGCACAGGGACTCTTTCTCTCTCTCTGTTTCTCCTTTCCAGTGTTTATCTCCACACACCTACCACTCTCTCTCTCTCTCTCTCCCTCCTTCTTTCTCTTTCTCTTGCTCTCTGCATGCCTTTCCGAGCCTTTTGAGTAGTGCCTGTAGACACACATTAACATGCTGCATGTCACCCTGTGGAAATCCAGCTTGCCATTTATCTATCTATTTAAAGGAAACACAGTTCAGTCTTTTAATAGCTGAACATGGCATTTACTGATGCATATTTATTGGATGTTGGCTCAGTTTAAACAACTGGGTAATTTTAGCACAAGGTAGTCGCCCCTGTTGTGAAGTGGCCTGGAGCAAACCGCCAATACTAAATTGGTTCATGATCCACGATGTAGGCCATTGATCCCTGATTGTCACCCAGGGTTATCAGCTCTGAGATCCATTTTCTCGGCTGTTCAGAGCAAAGGCAATATTCCCACATAAAAGCACAATAAGGAAATAAAGACGCTTTTATATTTCTATGAATGTATCATTACTAAAGATGTATTTTTTTACCTCAAAGAATGCAAGAGTGTGGGATAGCAGTAAATGATGCTACTATATATGAGGTTATGGCAGTGCTGTTTGCTGGTACCAGCCAATGCAATCTTTAACCAGGAAAAAGGTCCTAACTCTCGTCCCGGCAGATCTACTGTTCTCTTTTGAATTCATGTAGGTTTGACTCTGCTTCTCTGCAAATGGAATGTACTGTAATCAAACATCTTTTTTCCCTTAACATTTTGATATTTATTAGATACAAAAAAACTGTTATGCTAATAAACGACAAATACGACTGTTATGTCCCGGCTTTTTTTTCTGGTTTTTGTTCAATGTTCACAGAAACATTTTATCAATGCTGGGAAGAGGTTATTAGAGGTCATCACAACCAGGAAATCTTCTTTTTCCCCAAAACAAATATACTTTAATACATTAATTGATGATTATGGAAGGCCTTAATGTTTAATTTTGTGTTTTGGAAGTCAGTCGATAAAGTGACATTTTAACAGTCTCATTTGTACGAGTATTATTTATTTTTTGGGAAATTACGAGAATAAAGTCATAATATTACGAGAAAAAAGTCGTAATGTTACGAGAATAAAGTCGTAATAATATGAGAATAATGTAATAATAATACAAGAAAAAAAGTTGTTTTAATGAGAAAAAAGCTTCGATAGAGTTATTGTATTGTATTGTATTACTTTATTAATCCCACAACGGGGAAATTTCCTTGTCACAGCAGCAATTACTTGAAATAAATAAATACAGATGTAAAAAACTATGATAAAAACTAAACTATGAGTATGGTGGTAATTTGAAATCTGAAAAAAAAAAGACCTTTGGAACCTCTCCTTCTTACACCGTGGGTGTAAAAGTCTGCTGCTGAAGGAGCTACTCAGGGACCCCACAGTGTCATGCAGGGGGTGAGAGGTATTGTCCATGATGGAAGTCAGCTTTAGTAACATCTTCCTTTCACCCACTTCCTCAGTGGAGTCCAGAAGACAGTCCAGGACAGAGCTTGCTCTCCTGATCAGTTTATTGAGTCTCTTCCTATCCCTGTCCGTACTGCCCCCTCTCCAGCAGACCACAGCATAGAAGATGGCTGAAGCAACCACAGAGTCATATAAAGTCTTAAGGAGAGCCCTGCTTACTCCGAAGGACCTAAGTCTCCTCAGCAGGTGGAGGCGAATCTGGCCCTTCTTGTAGAGAGCATGGGTGTTGTCAGTCCAGTCCAGTTTTTTGTTGAGGGGAACACCCAGGAATTTATAATTATCTACCACCTCAATGTCCAATCCCTGGATGTTAACCAGGGTGAAGTGGGATGTTTTCCTCTTGAAGTTAACGATCATCTCCTTCATCTTGCTAGTATTTAACTGAAGGTGGTTGAGCTCACACCAGCTGACAAAGTCCCTGATAACAGTCCTGTATTCCAGTTCGTTCCCCTCAGAAATGCATCCAACAATGGCTGTGTCATCTGAGAACTTCTGGATATGGCAGAGTGTGGAGTTGTGGGTAAAGTCTGAGGTGTAAAGGGTGAAGAGAAAGGGAGAGAGCACCGTACCCTGAGGGGCACTTGTGTTGCAGAGCACAACGTCAGACACACAATGTTGGAGCCTCACATACTGTGGTCTGTTAGTGAGATAGTCTATTGTCCATGCAGCCAGGTGTTGGTCCACTCCCACACTTTCGATCTTCACTCTGAGCAGTGACGGCTGGATAGCGTTGAAAGCACTGGAGAAGTCAAAAAACATGACCCTCACCGTGCTCCCGCTGTCCTCCAGGTGTAACAGGGATCTGTGCAGCAGGTAGATTACTGCGTCGTCTACCCCAATACCAGGCTGGTAAGCAATCTGCAGGGGGTCCAGCTGTGTGGTTAGCCTCCTTGGAACGCGGTGTCTTCGGTAACGGGACCACACAGGAGGTCTTCAACAGGGCTGGGACTTTCTCCAGACTCAGGCTCAGATTGAACAAGCGCATGATCACACCGCAGAGCTGGTCTGCACAATCTCTAAGCAGTCTTTGGCTGATGCCGTTCGGGCCCGGGGCCTTCCTTACCTTGATCTTCTTAAGTTGACACCTCACCTGATCAACTGTTAAGGCCCAGACACACCAACCTGATTATCAGCCATGGACGTCGTCGGACAGTCGGGCGAGGTCGGTGACTCGAGTTGGTTCAGTGTGTCCTGTGCAGTCGTCAGTCGGCGTCGACGTTCATTTTGGTCGATTCGACATGTAGAATCGGCCAGTGGCCGTCGGCCTCAATGACCAATCTGATTGGTGGAGTGCTAGCCCTTGACTAGTGCACAAGAAAACCGGAAGTGATGATGGTAAACATACTACGCCAACGCCAGTATCTTGTTATTATTAGCCATCGTATTATCCGTTCAGTGAATAATGACAATAACGATCCTTCTTGACTACTATCAACACTCTCTGATGAAAACAATGACTGACGACAGCGTGCTCTTTGTTTACTAGGTCTAGAGTGATCCGTCATTTCCGATTTTCTTTTTTTTTTGGGCGACAACACAGATTAGCGCCGCCTGCTGTTATGGGGACGTAGGATGCCTTGCGCACGTGCGCGAGCTCCAGTCGGCCTCGGTTTGGTTTGTTCGGAGGCACTTTTTTGACCGACTCGGGGAGACAGGAGCCGACTGGTCAGTCCGACTGCTTTTCTGCCGACGGTCGGCCGTCGGGTTGGTGTGTCCTGGCCTTTATCGAGAGGGGGGTGGGGGATGACTGGGGTGGGGGTATGGTGGGTGGTGAAAGTCTCAGGGGGAGTGAGAGGGGGGTGGTGAACTGGTGAGGGGTGGGGGGGTGGACTGGTGGAGGTCAGGTGTTGAAGTTGGCAGGCTGAGTGGCGGAGGGGCAGGGGGAGCTTGCCAGGGAAATTGTGAAGTGGGAGCAGGGTGGGTGAGGGAGGGAGAGGAGGCAGAATCAAATCTGTTAAAAAAAATATGAAGTTCATCTGCCCAGTCCTTGTCCCCACTGGTTTGGTTTCTTCCCACTCCTTTTCCATGGTCTAAGATGTTCTGCAGGCCTCTCCAAACATCCCTGGCGTTGTTTTGTTCCAGCCGCATCTCCAGTTTCCTCCTGTAGCTGTCCTTTAAGATCTGACGTGACCAGCTCAACCAAACAGCAGCCTCAGCCTGAGCCCAGCAGCCGCTGTTTGTCTCAGTCATACCGAAACAGGTAAGCTAGCGTATTGATAATTTCGTCGTTAAACAGTTTTGCTGGCTGAGCCAACAGGCTGACAGTTCTCATAAAATCACTACTTTATTCTCGTAATGTTACGACTTTATTCTCATAGACCTAATATTATGACTTTATTCTCTTAATATTATGACTTTATTCTCATAATCCACCCCCCAAAAAATAAATATTTTTTTCTCTTAGTATGGCCCTAATACTCCGTCGTACATTTGTGTAAATTTCAAAGTTAAATTAATTTCTTGATCAGCTTTATGGACCTGGCTAAAATAAAAATAGAAATGACCCGATGAATTGGCTAAAAGCCTATTTGTCCAGCAAATTTAATTTAAAAAATGTTTTACTGTATCTTGGTGACATTCTTATAAATTAATGGGTGAATGCATAATGTCCATGGATTACAGCTAAACCAGGTATAAATTATGCTATGCCACATCAAAACTTCAAAGTCTACAGCCATATTAGCAGCTCTGTGAGGCTTGTACTTAACATGCTCACAATGATTACATATACTGTCAATGATTTTAACGTGGTGATGTTTAGCAGGTAGGATGTTTGCCATGGTCACCATCTAAGTTTAGCATAATGACAGTAGTGGAAGAGATTGGGGATCTCCAGCGTCATTACAATTCATGCTGTGGGAGGTGTGAATGTGTGTGCAGAATTTTATGGAAATCCATCCAGTAGTGGTGAACTGACATACTGACATTGTCATCCCTAGAGCCATACTGCGAGTATGGTTACAAGCATACAGATCATCATCAGCATACTGGATTTTTTGGCCTGACAAAAACACACAGACATCTTTAAGCATCTAAGACTGGTTCAGTGTAAAAAAAAAGTGTCTAAAATATAGCCCCTTGTGTGGTTCATACAACCAAAAATGAATGCTGTATACTGTTGTGAATTTTGAATCATATCAGCTTGTACCATAGCATATTGAGTAACACTGTGTAAGACAAATATTCCTTTGTTTTGAATTGTTCTTGCCCTCTTCATACACCAACACCAAAATACACAAACACACAAAGTTAATAATGCCAGATCTCTGACTGTTGCTTCTCTACACTCTGTTTATAATAGTAGTGTGTATTTGTTTTGTGTATGCATGTGTGTGTCTGTCTTTTATAAGCTGCTGCTACGGTTCATCTGAGGTGAAAGCATGGCAATCGTCATGTCCCTCTGGTGACGTGGGCGGGGGTGAAAACTGAGTAAGTATGCGTGCTGAGGATCACATTGACACATCTGTCATAGGTCCAGCTGCTCTCACCTGGCGAGGGGCCGCTCCACTGTGTGTGTGTGTGTGTGTGTGTGTGTGTGTGTCTGTCTTAGGAAATGGAGTACATGGGTTCAGCAGGGATGCAATCGAGATATACTTCCTGGGTATTTATGAAGGAGGTAACATTACAACTGTGTCAAGGTGTGTGTGTGTGTGTGTGTGTGTGTGTGTGTGTGTGTGTGTGTGTGTGTGTTTATGAATGCATGATTTTAGAGAGGCCAATGATGTGAGTGGTCAAAATAGTCCCCACTTAGACAATTTCTTTCTCTGTTTTACTGAGAAGGGATGTGCAGGTGGGTGGGGTGTGTTTGCTCTGAGGCTGATTATTTGTGTATTTAGCGGTGCCTCCAGCACATCTGTGGGAATGTTGTTATTTAGCCTGGGGTCTTGAAGACCCATCCATATTTAATGGTGTGCAGACAATCCCATCCTGGCTGTTTATGCATCGTTTTATCCACCTGCTAGCAAACTCATCTTTTATTCACTGCTTCCCAAAATCTGTCATTAGCAAAACTGAGGCCCATCTGCCTTCCTCCTTTGCACTTTTACTTTCCTCTTCGCAACCACTTATAATTTTTGATTAAAGTTGCGTCTGAGTCAGAGGGATGCAGAGGATGATAGAATAGCGACGGAAATGGGTAAAGTGTCACACAAATGCTGACAGGAGAAAAGGATTGTTAAAAGAAGTGGGATTTAGACTAATGATGTATGAGTATTCATCTTTATACTTAACATACATTTGACACTGTTTATAATTCCCTCTGCTGCTTGTGTGTCTATTTTATCCACTCTTTTCACATTGTTTA